GAATCGTGGACACAAGGCTTTAAAAGCTGCCAAGTTGATTGACTGCATATTTCCCGGAACTAGAACTTGGACCAAGTTTCAGCACCGTGGACACGGGGCCTTCGCGCCCACCTGAGTGAGATAGACACCGAAATAAATTCGCGCTATCCCATTCCCTCGAGCCCGTATCAGACTACGGATTGGGATTGAGATCAGATTGAAGTTTGACCAATCGGGAGTAAAATTTACTAATCTTTGCTTCAGTGACTTTTACTCCGATTGGTCAGATTTCCATCTAATCTCAGTCTCAATCCGTAGTCTGATACGGGCTTCAGGAGGATTCCCCACTTCGGGCTCCACTGCCTCGTAAGCCGCCTATGGTGAATATGTCTATGATGCGTGAAACGGCACCCAAAGAGAGCGCGCGCGCGCGCGCGTTCCTTTTCCACCTTATCTCGCCGCATTTTCCACGCACCGCATTTACTGTTACTTGCGTTCTGGGAAAGCGCGTGTTCCCGGAGCAGAATGTAAATTAAAACGGGCGCTCCTTAACCGGCCGACGCGGCTCAAGTTGGTTTCCCATTACGAGCGGACGGCCGTCGCGCCGACCAGCGAGACGGTCCTCGTTCAGGGGGTCAATTCTGTATCTCGCGATGTAGCGAGAATGCTGAAAGCGACCGGCCCTGGTCTCTTTTTGAGGAGACGGCTAGAAAGAGACGGAGCCATTCACTTTCGACCTTTTCGCTACGCAGCGTAAGGTACAGAATTGATCCCCGGGACACCCCGTGTACGACGCGCGATCGCGTCTCGTCGCGCGAGGCCGGTGGGGTGCGTGCACACCGGGTCAATGATCTTCCGTTGGAAACCGGGTGGTTACACGATTCGGCGCCGCGCCGCGCCGCGCCGCGCCGCGCCGCGTCCCGGAGCGTCGCGTCGGCCAATCGCCGGGGCTGCACCGGGCGCGTTTCGCAAACGACGGCGGCCGGCCCGGTTATCGTCGATTATGCCAATCTAGAGCGTGTAGCCACAGCTGCGTGCGTGCGTGCGTACACGCGCCGCCCAATATCCCATACCATTCGCATTCCACCGGCGCGTAAATCCCGGGCGGTGAATCGCACGGTCGGAGCCTCCGCGCGAGGGAGGCGCCGCGTGAGGAGGAAAAGGGCCAGCCGCAAGGGCGGCCGCGTACCTTGTTGAAGTGCGTCTGCAGAAGCCGCTCATACTGGTCGACCGCACGCAGGCAGAGCCTCGTGGTGAACGCTTCCATTCGTGCTGGCAGGGGCGCGTGACACACGCTGCTCGACATTATTTTATCCGTTTGCGACGCGGGGCACACGCGCGCGTACACGCGAATCACCGCGGGCGAGGCGGCTCTCTCTCTCTCTCTCTCTCTCGACGGAGACTCGTGGAGACTCACTGTCGGCGAGCGCGGACGAACGTCGGCGAACCTAACCTCCACCGTCGGGCGCTGGTCTCCGAGCGAGCTCGCCGCCGGGCCGAGGCGATTCGACGAATGACGCGCGGGGTGCCGCGCGGCCCGCGAGACCACCCTACCTACGCCCCTGTGGGCGCGAGCCGCGCCGCAGCCGATTGGCTGGAGCCGGCCCCGGCCCGAGCTCTCGGCTACGACGCTCCCTCGCCCTCCCAGCCCCTCGCGTTCTCTCTCGCTCCGTCCCGCTCTTCGCGCTTCCGTTTAGCGCCGTCGCGTTCCCGCCAAGTCGGCTCGTCTATCCGTCCCGCTCGCCGCGTTACACTTCCCGTGTAGCCCCCCCCCCCTCGCGGCTCGCTCCATCCTTCTCGCGCCTCGCTCTCGTTCCCCTTCTCGCTCTCTTTCTCTGTCCCTCCCCCTCCCCTCCCCCCCCGCGTGCGAGCGTGCATCAACGTCACCGTTTCTGCGTGCAACACGAATACTAACGCTTCGCCGCGCGGCGAGGCGGGTGCGGGCGGCCGCACTCCGCTCCGCTTCGCTTTGTCGCGCCCCGTGACGTCACTGCGCGATGCGTTCGTGTACGTACGTACACCGCGGGGCAACACTGAGGCGACGAGAAAGCGCGTAAGTAGTTTTATCGGCGGGCTCTCCCTCTCCCGCGTGTGTATGTGTGTACTGTACACACACGCCGATCGTCCCGGTGCGCAACGCACGAAACGTAGGCCGGTCGGCGGTTAGCGGGAGGCTGAAAAATAAATTAATGCGGACCCCCTTTTTTCTTCTCCCGCAGTGCCCTCGTCCTCGCGAGCTTCCAGGAAACGTCATCTCGCGCGCATCTTCCACTTGGATCGCCCGGCGCGGTTTTGCATGTACCTCGCCAAGAATCGTCGCGCCTCTTTTCTACACCGAGAAAAAGATACGCTCTGGTTGTATCGACGAGACACGTGCGATGGAATGTATTTCGGTTAGACCAAACAGAATTTCCAGTTATCACGATTCTAGCTTGTCATTTTATTGTCATTTTATATTTGTCGCTCATACTTGGCGCGAGACACTGCCGTGTCTCGTGATTGAGGCTCGATATTTCATAACCAGAAGTTTGATAGAACTTCACTACGCGTTTGGTGAATCCTAAAGGAATTCCGACTCGTCCATTTTCTAACGGACGACCGGTTGAATCTACCCGATTTTTTATTAAGGCAGCCAGATTGTTTTCATTGTAGGGAGAAAAAATCGAGCGGGCTGACGCCCGTATCAGGGCGTCAATGCTGTGGGGGAGTAGCCTTGTCTCTTTCTAACTGTTCCCTTAAAAAAAAGAGAGACAAAGCCGCTCACTTTTAGCATTTTCACTATGTTGCAGGATACAGAATTGACCGCCAGATTGCAGATTGAGATCGGATTGTAATTTGACCAATTGGAGTAAAAGTCACTAAACTGGTGGTTAGTAAACTTTACTCTGATTGATCGAATTTCAACCTAATCTCAATCTCGCTCCGCCCCAAGGAGAAATAAGGAGTCAAGATGGCGTCAATTTGATGTTACATTCATTACATTTATGTAATATTTTGGTCAATATGACATCAAATTGGCGTCATCTTGACTTTTCATTTTTCCTTGGGGTAGTCCGGATAGCACACAGGTGAACGTACACCCACAGAAAGAATTTCCGGATCCAATGCTACTACATTTGAATGTATCATGAAACAGGATCGATATAGCGACAATCTTATTTATTATAGAGAAAGGAATATTTTAATCTTAAATGAAAATTTATTCTAAACGGAAGAACAACGACTAGTTACTCTTGTCTCGATGTAGTAAGTCGATACTTTTTAATTCGATAGAGGAGAATAAGAGTTATTGATTTTATTTTGATATTGTCTTATTTCTATACTAGACGAGGTTGTGAGAAATGTAAATGCGTCAAGAATATTTTTTGTCTCGGTAACAGAAATTCCTTTCCGAGGGTGTAAGTTCATAGAGAATTCATTTTGAACAAGAAAAATGCCCGCAGAATTAGAAAACTGAATATCTGAAGAATTCTTGAAGAATCGACCACTATCGGTTCGTCTTGAAGTATTCGTCAGAAGTTCATTACCCAGTAAGGCTGATGGCAGAGAACAATCCGTCTCAGTCGTAGACGTAGGGCAAGGCAGAGAGAAACGTAAGTCGTATACAATAGCCTTTCACGACTTATGTTTCTCTCTGCCTTGCCCTACGTCTACGACTGAGACAGTCTTAAGCGTTTACGGATTGTTCTCTGCCATTAGTCTAAGAGATTATTCGCCGATCGATGTCAAAACAATGTCGAATCGACGTCGACACCGTTGAATTGACATCGATCGACGAATCGTTTTTCACTGGGTATGGCGCATGTGACTTTCCTAGTTATCCTTAATGTATTCTTTTATGAATTCCTGATGAATTACATTTCAGAAAGGCTGAGAGCTTCAAGAATACTTTGCGAATTCGCTGTGCTATCTGGGAAGAAACGGGACTAACAGTGGATCAGACTGCGGTTGAGTTGGCCGCTAGTCGGCCCGACCAGCGGAGCTGCTCGGGGTGAGATTTTTAGTTATTCCAGCTCGTTGACCTTCCGATCCGATCTTCGTTAAACAGCAAAGAGCCAATAATGTCCGCATTAACAGAATAATACACGTATTGCTTGATAAGTTAATCGTCTCAATCAAGTTAATCAAGTTGATCAAATTAATTAGAGTATAGTCAAAACGGGTTTACGATTAAGCGCTGGAGAGAAAAAGGGGAGAGACGAGAAACGCGCTTGTTAGACCGAAGGTCCGGCCACACAAAGGGTCTGGTTCTTTGCAGCTGAACCGGCTGCGCTATTTCCGAGTTTATCTTTCTACTTCTGACGTAGAGGAAGAGATATAAGCACAGAACTAGCGCAGCCAGTTGAGCGACAAAGAACAGGCCTAAAGTCATTGTCTGGACCCTGTCCGTTCTCGCTACGCACATGCGTAGACTGAAAACGTTACGATCGCGATACGCACAAGAGTGCTCGAGCGGCAAATACGAAGGAAGGACAGCGCGCGCGCGCGCGCGTGAGAGAGAGAGAATCAAATTTAACGTATGAGGAAGTGAAATTTACGTCAACGAACAAACTCGAGGCTCGACATTACGGTCATTTTCCCACGAACTTGCCCTGGTCGTCACTCGCGTTTTTGTATTATACATCGAGTCCGCGAATGACTCATGCACAAACGGCGGAAGCCGAACGCTTTGCGAAACCACGCGCCGGTATCGGTAATTTTTGTACTTGACGTAAGCTCGTCTTCATCCTTCGACGAAGCCCGTCTTCGTCGGAACCGGAGCTTTTCGGAATCCGCGAGGGAATCGCGCACGGCTGATTCACTTCCGGCTGCGGTCCGCGACGCGAATCAGGATAGATCCTATCGGAGGAGCTCAGGCTCGTTCTCCGGATCCGTCGCGGTGCGGCGGCCCGAGGCGCGCCACGGTCAAGCGTGAAACGGAACGATTTCGGGGTCGCCGTCCTACATTTTTTTTTTTCACAGAGGATCGCCGTTCCTGTTCGCGAGAGCGAACCGTCTCCGAGTTTGCTCGTCGAACACGCCGACTACTGGTCGCCCAAGGAGAACAGAAGAGTCGAAATAATGTCGATTTGACGCCGTGTTGACCAAATTTACGTCACGTTTCGGTCACGATTTGGCCAATGCGACGTCGACACGACTTGGGATCCTAAGAAGAACAGTAGAGTCGAAATAATGTCGATTTGACGCCGTGTTGACCAAATTTACGTCACGTTTCGGTTGGTCGTGACGTCAAATTGACATTATTTCAACTCTTCCGTTCTCCTTTATAGGGCCCCAAGCAGAACAGCAGTCACGTTGAAGTCAAAATGACATAATGACTCATATTTTGATCATGAAAATTGGCTGAATTATGATTTTAAAATTTAGCGATGCCGCTTGACATCCCCCGGGATTATTCGAATGTGAACATCCGTTGATCTCGCCGACTGACCTTTCAACAACTCCTGTACCGAAGAATACTTCCCTAGTAGCGTAGTGCGCTGACCAAACACTAGTTAAACATTGGTCCAATATTCGGTTGTACTGGGCCAATGTTTAGCCAATGCACTGTGCTACTTATAGAGTTGGGACGAACTTTGATTGACTTCGATCGACGGGTCGAGCTAACGAAGTCGCTGTGGCGCAAAACTTGCAACTATACAAATTCGTCGTCCCCGACCCAAGAAGAAATAAAAAGTCAAGATGACGTCAATGGAATTGTCAAAAAGGAAGATTAGATTCCTAAGGAGAAATAAAGATCAAGATGATGTCAATTTGATGTCATGTTGACCAAATTTATGTCATATTCTGGTCAGTATGACATCAAATTGACATCATCTTGATCTTTAATTCTCCTTGGGAATCTAATCTTCCTTTTTGACAATTCCAGTGACGTTACTGGAAAATAACACAGGTATTACTCGGGGCAAGCTAATCGCAGTTTGGTCAAAGTGGCCCCGGACTGTTGATGCTCGCTATCTCTCCGGGCGATTCCCGGTCATCGGTGCCGCTTGCTGACGTAGGTCGCATTATCAGGGAGAAAGTCGACGCCCGCTCCGCGCGCGTATTCGACCGCCGCTTTTACGACGTCGTCTCTACGTGAGTTTTTGGAGAACGAGGAATCTCGGATCTCTCGCGAAATTTCTCCGGCGACGACGTCGCCGCGCGCCGTCCTGCTCGCCGCGAGAGGAAGAGAGATCGAACTGCTTCTTATTCCCGGCGTCGCGTAAACGTGACGATCGACGCGATTTTATTCGTTCGCGGCGAGGCGGCGAGGTGATCGACCGCGGAAATACGGGCCTCCTCCGATCGGGATCGGGATGCCCGCGCGATCTCGCGCGCGTTCTCACGTCCCTCCGGCGTGGAATGCCGCCGAGACGTGACGCGGCCAGAGGACCCGGACGAATTCGTCGGCTGGAGGTGTCCGCCCCCGGCCGCCTCGACCGTTGACATCCCGCGATACATTTGTTTATCGTGAGTGCGAGCCGCGCTCGGGGACGATAGCCAGGGACGTTCGTAAAGCGTAACGCCGTTAGAAATGCACTTGTCACGTTGAGACATTAATCGCGCTTGCTTTCGAGCGGGGCGCCTCGCACACGCGGCACTTAAGCCTTGTGTCCACGATCCAAGAACTTGGTCCAAGTTCTAGTTTTGAGAAATGTGTAGCCAATCAACCTGCAGCTATTCCATAAAAGCTGCAAGGTGATTGGCTACGCATTTCTCGGAACTAGAACTTGGACACAGTTCTTGGATCGTGGACACAAGGCTTTAGAGACCCTGTAATCAGAGACTGGCCATAAGAGAGCCTGCGAGTGAGATAGAAACATAGATTTCTACGAGCGTAGAAAGGTGCCCAAGGAGAAGAAAAAGTCATCATATCGACCAAATTTTGGTCAATTTGATGCCGTATTGACATAATTTGACATAAATTTGGTCAATATGACATCAAATTGACATCATCCTGACTTTTTCTTCTCCTTGGGTGAGATAGCCTACACACAGAAAAATATATACTACCTGCAAGTAAAGATTATTTGTTCCAAGTATTTGATAAGTTTATATATCCGCAAATCTATCATAATGTCGTCGCAAGTGTTATATTTACTCAAAACATATTCTGGTTCTTAGTAAGTCTATATAGTACTTGAAACAAGAATACATAGAATTATCTGAAGCAAAACAATTTTGTTTCTTCTGATTTTATTAAAAGAAGCATACGGAATTCTTCAATAAGTTTTATAATTTTCTTCAAAGAAGAATAAATTCTTTCTTTGAGTATAAGATGGCAAGCTTTTCTAAGACTAGTAACAAGCATATCTTAAAACTATTATTAAGAAAATATTCTTTGTGTTGAAGCAAACTATTACTTAAACGGAATAAAATAAACTGAGTAATTACTTTTCTTGACCGTACAATAATATTTTTCTGTGTGTAGTCTCTGATTACAGGGTCTCTGGCGGCGCTCACCGCCGATTTTTCGGCAGCGAGTGGCGACTGCGTGTGGTCGCGGAAATCGATTACGAGAGAGGTTTTCGTAACGGCGTGAATCGTCAGCGCGATGATTCGCGGAGTGGAATTGCCACGAACGGGAGTCATCACCCGTTGCAACGGCTTTCCGAGCGTGTCGCGTCGGCGTCGCGCGCCTCACACCCGGTAAAGTGCAGCTGTGCATTGCAAAAAGACATTTCTCAAGAAGCTCTATTGTCGTCGCAGAGAGATGCATAAAGAAGTGCATTCCCTCTCCTCTCTCTCTTTAAGATTTAAAAAAATGTGTTGCCAGAGCATTTAAGAAGTAAACTAGAAGTAGTAGGTGGTGGAGGAGTAAGGCAAACTAGACAGACAGGGGATATTGTAATTCAATTTCGTAAAAGCACACTGAAAAAAATTTCTGGTTGAATATGGACGAATCAGATAATTCCTTTAGGATTTACCAGAATTCCTGTAATCCTACAGAAATTCTGGTAAATCCTAAAGGAATTATCTGATTCGTCCATATTCAACCAGAAATTTTTTTCAGTGCAGAGGTGCGTAAAAATGTTCAATGAAGGAGTGAAAATGTACGATGTGTTACCAACCGAAATCAGGCAGTGGGCAAAAATCGAGCCATTTAAAAGAGGGTTAAAAGAATATGTTGCAACAAATGTATTTTAATGCGCTAGAAATAGCTGAGAAAGCTAAATAAATGTCAATCAATCTCCGTCCCCTCCCATTCTACTCATTCCTTGCATTCTATTTTATGCTATACTTATTTCTTTGTTTCTTCTTACATCCTCATTTCCACGTATCTCTCATGTGCATTCTCACTCGTTCTCACTGTCTATAAAGAATATCGAAATTCCGAGGGCCCGTCAACTCGCGCACTCGCGTAAAAAAAAACGGTCGGGTCTCGCGCGCGCGTTTCTAGCTTGCCACTTTAACTTTGTCGCTTATACTTGGCGCGAGACACTACCGTGTCTCGTGATATAGCCGTGGCGTCTCGCTCAACAAAAGAATATGCCTTGAGAAAAATATTCGGCACGTCTTTGTATTTTGCGCGTAAATGCTCTGTCTTGAGATCTAAACAGGCATTCTCACGCAGTTTATTTTTCGTAGCAATTGTTGTTACGCTTTAGGGGACTTGTCCCAGAGCGCGTGATAAATAACGATTCTGATTCTTTCTTCGCGTTTCTCTCCGGCACAAAAGTCTACCTCAAGCATGTTGAAGGAGCAAGGGTCTAGGGTTAAGACGGTGGGACGTGTTTTTTTGCCGCTCGTGACGCTCAACACGCTTAATGCTGTTTAGATCTCAAGACAGAGCATTTACGCGCAAAGTACAAAGACGTGCCGAATATTTTTCTCAAGGCATATTCTTTTGTTGAGCGAGACGCTACGGCTATATTCTTTATAGGCAGAAGAACATTTCCCCAACAATAAACCCTGTTCGTTGTTAAATAGTCGACGTTCTCGAAAGTGTCGGAGGAGAATAAAGATTAATTATATATAACAGCGATGCACTTGATGTGCAGGCATGAATATTCCTCTGCCCGATTTAGGTATGTCATTTAACGTAATTTTGCGGGATTTTTGGCACGTGTACCAGAGTGTGCACTCGGCGCCACGGATGCTTTTACACCTGGAACAATACGCTAGATACCCAAGAAAACTGACCAGAAAACCAGACAGTCGCCAAAAGTCGCCTTTAGATACGTCGTCTTCTCCTTCGCAAGAATTTCCTTGTCGATCTCGCTCGCGCTTTACGCGCGCAGAGCGTTCTATTCGCATTAAAGGCAAAATTGAACGGCTACGGCAACGGTTTCCCGAGCGATATTCCTCTTCTGAATCCGATGCCTCGGTTCAAGGCAACTCAATAGAGCATCTTTAACGAGATCGCTCCCGCTCGACGTTAATCGAGCGCGATTTCGCTCCTACGGCTCGCCCTTGGACGAGCACACGCCCACGCGTACAATCGACAATGATAATAACGATGTCCGATGTTGGAAGCATCGTGTTGTACCCGGCGAACGTGTCTCGCGTCGTGAAAATGTTTTCGCTTCGCCGGAGGTGTCCCGCGCCGATCGCTTCTGCGAACTTAAAAATGAAGACGCGTATTCGACAGCGAGTGACGAGAGCTCGCTCTCTCAGAATTGATCGCGCGAGGCGTATCTCACTTTTGTTAAACAATAAAATTCACACGGCTCTGACGTGAAATCACAATTCCAAGGAATAAAGGATGATCCCCCACGGAGAAATATTTATTTCAAAAAGTAGGCGAAAATATATGCATTTCACACATTTGGTATACAAAGATTCTATTTAAAAAATCGTACATAATATTATATATGTCAAAAACGTACTAAAAATGTATGCGAAATATATGAACAATATTTAAATTATATTTTTATAATTTTGCAATAACGCACTTCGTTACGCTCTTTCTCGTATTTAAAAATCAACCAATAGCAGTACCTATATAAGAAGTAGCGAGAAATCAGATCTAACAGTTGTGGCAAATGAAATCAATTTGATATCCGCTGATAAAGCGTTGAGAACCTAAATTCTAAGATATTTAGAACTCCTAACGTAATATTCCTTTTAATATTTTTATATAAAATATATGATAATTTATAAAAAATATACAATGCATACATTAGACGTATATAATTATATACACAGCTATGTATTATAATATATATTATAATATATAATATATTATAATATATAGTATATCATACATTTTATTATATATTTTTTTAATACATATGAATGATATATGAAAATTTCCAATTTATTGGTATTAATTAACATTTATAGTATTTAAAATCTCGTATTTAAAAATCAACCAATAGCAGTACCTATATAAGAAGTAGCGAGAAATCAGATCTAACAGTTGTGGCAAATGAAATCAATTTGATATCCGCTGATAAAGCGTTGAGAACCTAAATTCTAAGATATTTAGAACTCCTAACGTAATATTCCTTTTAATATTTTTATATAAAATATATGATAATTTATAAAAAATATACAATGCATACATTAGACGTATATAATTATATACACAGCTATGTATTATAATATATATTATAATATATAATATATTATAATATATAGTATATCATACATTTTATTATATATTTTTTTAATACATATGAATGATATATGAAAATTTCCAATTTATTGGTATTAATTAACATTTATAGTAGTATATTTCTTATAACGCAATATACGAGTAATATAAAACGAATGTATCCTTTCTACTTTTCTTTATATATAATGAAATAAATTTTTTTCCGTGGGCGTAAGAGTCAAGGAAGGATGGGTAAATGATTTTAAGTTTTTAATTTATTGCGAAAAATTTACCTCCGGATTGGAACCTGGACCTCCCTCTCACTAGGCGTCGTCATCAGTTCGACCACCGAGGCATGTTTACTACAATAAAATACTACAGTAAATTTTGCGCAATAAATTAAAAAATTAAAATCATTTAGACACTAACATCCTGTCTTGGCTCTTGTGTCCTTGATTCCTTCGAATTATTTTTTTCTCTTCTACCTTGGAAACGCATCATCGATTCTCTTTATTGAATTTCAGCATTTTCTAAATAATGACGCTACGCGGAAAAAGATGGACGAATCCGGAATCTTCGTCGTCGGACTTCCCGTAGACGCAAGAGACGAGTGGTCCAGCGTCGTAGCTGCCGTCGAGAGGGACCCAGTGAGGAGTGGATGATAAAAAAAATATCCATTTGATGTCAAAATGATGAGATCAATCTGAAAACAAATTTTTACATCAATTCGATCATCTGGTTATCGCAGTTTTCATCTTTTATCGATATTTTGTCCATAATGATAATTTTTCGATTGCTCTACTACACCCACAGAAAAAATTTTCGGATCCAATGCTATCACGCTTGAATGTATCATAAAATAGGATCGATATAGCGCCAATCATATTTATTATAGAGAAAGGAATATTTTAATCTTAAATTAAAAATTCTAAAATCTAGAATCGTCTTTTGTCGAATATCGTGGTGCGAACTTCGTGCGTTGTAAGATGGAGGAAAAATTTATTCTAAATGGAAGAACAAGTTACCTACTCTTGTCTCAATATAGTAAGTCGATACTTTTTAATTCGATAGAGGAGAATAAGAATTATTGATTTTATTTTGATATTGTCTTATTTTTATACTAAATGAGGTTGTGAGAAATATAAATGCGTCAAGAATATTTCTCGGTAACAGAAATCCTTTCTGAGGGTGTAGGCTTTTGATATAAATCTTATTATATTTAAAGGATTTTAAACATTTATCAGGCGTCATCTGCATTTTACAGCTCTGTGACCAGATCATCGATCATTGATGTAAAAATTGATTTCAGATTGATCTCGTCATATTGAGATGAAATCGATATCCATTTGATCATTCATTACTCACTGGGGAGTGGAGGCCCCTTAGATCGTGCTTCAGATCGAAACGCGACGATATCAGCAAGTGACGTCTGGTTTTGAAGAAAAAGCGGTTCAGAAAAAATGAATAAGGTCGACCGGAACTGGTCTTGCCGTGCCTCTAATAAGCGGCACGATGACGACTGCTTCATAATTAACCGCGATAATCGCAATTCTTGTCGACCTAATGACCCCTATGTGTTACCAATGTTTCCAGCGGTTTCCTCCTCGTCCTCGTTCAAATGCAACAGGATATGGCATATATCGAGAAGCGAAGAGGATATTCGTAATTTGCGACCTACTGGCGGAAGTTACGTGGGCGGCGGCGAACCGTAAAGCAATTCCGCGGCGATTCCTGGTAGTTTCGATAGCCGCTTTATCGCATCGCGATGCACGCGACGGATTTAGTTTTTTTTTTCTGCCCTCGCCTTCCTCCCGCTTTATCTAATCCCGACGTGACGGAAAACTGACGCGCGATAAGGCATTTCCTCTCACGAGTCTCGGCGTTTCCGCTTCAAGATGAAATCGTTTAGTGGGTCTAGATCGAAACGTCGAGCTCTTTAATTAAAGGCAGGGTTAACTTACTGTAAACTTTACAGAAAATGCAAAAAGTTTCTACTTAAAAAATAATTTTAAGTCTCCGAAAAAAAACAAGATTTGCGCGAAGATGTGCAGTAAATATAATGAACACTTTTACATTGTTATAATTAATTTTTACAGTTAACGCGCTGAAATAAAGTACCAAACAGCAAACTGGAGCGCTAGCGAGATTGAGATTTGTTGCAGTATGGAAGAGGAAAACAAATATTAAAAGAAATAGGATGTGCGTTTTGCGGAAAGATTGTGTAAATCATGCTGCAGAGAAATGTGAGAGAACGAAGGTTTAGAAGTTTAGAGAAAAATAAGAGGGGGAGAGTAGATACCCAGTGAGAAACTACGTCGAATCGACAGCGACACCGTCAAATTAATGACGAATTCGACATCGTTTCGACATCGATCAACGAGTCATTTCTCGCTGGGAAGGCTATGGAATGTCGAATTAGACAAGGGGAAGCGCTCTGGAAGTTATGGGGGAAGAAAAAACAAAGGCCGGTATTCTGAACCTCCTTTTATCAATAAAAGCCTCTAACAGGCTAATAGCCTCCTGATTGGCTACGAGCCACTTTCAGAGGCGCTTTTATCAATGAAAGGGGACTCGGAGAGACGGAAGGGGAGAGGAAACGGGAAATGGAAAAGTTAGAAGAAACGAAGATAACGGCGAGGGGAAAAACGAGAAAAAGAATAGCGATAAGAAGGCTGTGGATGGAGATAGAGTGTAGAGGCGATAAGAAGATAAGATAAGGCGATATGTACGGAATGGAGATGTATGGATGTGCGTAGTCATGTTATTCCTACTATCAAATGTAAGCCGAGCTCCACTTTTTCACTGTCAATCACAAGTCAATCGCACTGTTAAGGTGCGCGCAGGAATGTTCGCCTACGGCGAAGGAACATTCGCGCTCTCGTTCTTCAAGTTGCCTGCATAAAGCCGTTCGCTTTCGGAAGCGTTCGCGGATATTTTGGCGCCCGCTACCAAATTGAGCCAAACATTCTGCAAGTGAAACTGGCAGTTCGGCTGTTCGTTCGCTCAGTCTGTGTACTCGCCCTAAGGGCCTGAGCAGAATGGCTGTCTTGTGCTCTCGAGAGACAATGTTTTATGTTTTAACTCTTTGTCTTAAAGTAACGCACAATAACTGCCTTGTGTCCTAAGAATACAAGACAGCCATTCTGCTCAGGCCCTAACGTTTCCGGCAACCCACGACCGAAAGACACCCGTGTTTCTGGCCCGTCGCAGTTGATCTTTAAACATCCCCACGTATTCATCTCAATCGACCGCGGCCAAGGTGCCGTGTAATATAAATTTCGAGCGCGGTTATCGTTTATTTTTATACCCACGTTAATGTATTTTCACGCAGATCAACGAGGCATATCGTTGCATATTGAACATTTTTTAAAAATAAACCAGCTATACGAGAACAGGTTCCGGAGCCTCGAATCCGCTCGCATCTCCGCGTCCACTTTGTCGTCCCGCGTGCGGCCGATCGAGCGCGGGTCCTCGAGGCTATAAAGATATATTATTAACGGTCAACCGGGAGAGAGAAAGAGAGAATAGAAAGCGCGGATCGGACGCGGACAGCGGCTTATTTGCGATATTATTTATAGACGTGTAATACATATGGATAGAATCGATAAGGCGGTGTCAATTCCAATTCCGTCGCGCCCGATAGCCGCGGACTTTCGATATCGCGTGCACGCGACGCGACGCGACGCGACGCGACGCGATGCGATCCGCGCGGGTCGCGGAACAAACGGGTCCAGCATTCCCCACGTTGTCGGTAATTACATCCATTGACGTCGGTGCTTGCTATTTTTCCTTATTTTTCTCGACATTATTCACTCGTCCCCCTCGCCCTCGCCCGCCGCCCAGTACCGCGTGGACATTCCGCAATCGGCCGAGGCGGCGATAAGCGGATCCGCGGCGCGGTAAAGCGGATCGCGGTGCGGCGGCGGAGACGGGGGGAGGAGGAGGGGGACCCGGAGCCGGCGCGCGCTCTCGAAAACCCGAAGGAGAGCCGCGAACGAGCGCTAACGAGGCGCCGCTCGCGCGGCGGTCAAACGGACCAGTTATTCGTACAAACGTGGAAATTTTCGAGCGACCGCCGTTCTCGCCGGGTCGACGAACGGCGGACTCGGCCGCGTCTCGTGTCGCGGCGCGGCGCGGCGCGACGCAACGCGAGAGCCAAAAAATAATGCGCAGTTTCCAGTCGCGCGGAGGACACGATTCCCCGGGGGGGAAATTGCGACAGTCGAAAAAGGGACCCGTCTCCGCCTCGCTCTCTCTCTCTCTCTCTCTCTTTCTCTCTGTCTCTCGCCTCGATCGTCGTCGTCGGTCCCACGCCGCGCGGCCGTAAGCGCGTATACGCTTGTGTTATAGCGGCGCGGGCAGGCAGGCGAGAGCAGCCAGGCAACATGGTATGCGTTGGCCGCGTAGCGAGCACGCGGAGGTCACCATTGACGCAAATCTATCCGAGTGTCACGTGAGCGCGGCCGCTGGAACACAATATATACACGCGATGGACGGCAACGACAACGGGCACGGCACGGCCGGCCGCACCACCATTCCATTAAATCCATGCCTGCTCCGTGCCGGCCGTGTATATATATATATATATATATATGCATATATATATATATATATATTTATGCGGCTGCTAGCGATGGGACCGAGCCGTGGGATGAGCCCCGAGAGAGCGCGGCCGACCGAAACTACGCCGGAACGGGTTTTCGGTTGAAAATACGACGGAAGGAGAACACGAAGAGGCCCCGCGCGAGAGGCCGACGACATGCTTCTGGGTCGCCAGTAGGCTCGCACGTCGAACGGATCTTCTCTCGGCAAACGGATAGAGCTCTGCGGCGCGGCCTCGGGCGACGAAACGCGGCTCGCTCGAGGCGAGTGTCGGCCCCATCGCTACTTGGACGAGGACGTCGGGCAGAAGGAGGGACGGGGAGGGGGAGGAGCGGAGTGTTGGACACTGCACACTCCGCGGCCCACCCACGTTACGATATAATGGGCAATTAATGGCCGGTGGACCGGCCGATCCTCGCTGAATGCCAATCGGCCACGGGAAGCGCCACGCTCGACGGACGGCCTGTTGTCTAACCCTTCGCGCTCTGCCAGAATGGTGCTCCATATGGCAACGCGAGTCGCCGGAGAGGTCCCTCCCGGCTATAATTAGAACGCCACACTCGCGCGAAGCGCTAAGTCTCTTTAATACCGCCGATTCGACCTTTAGCGCGTCTCCCGTCCGCCGATTCTTTCGATCGCCGCCTCGCATTTCTCTGTTATTTTTGCGAGCCGCGATTCCGAACAGCCGCGCCGTTATTCTTCTTTCGGCCAGGAAAGCCTGTCAAGAAACGCTCCATATGTATCGCGACAACGTCAGCAAGGACCTTGCGTTAGCCTAGTTTCAGTTCTGCGAGATAGAACACGAATGTGGTGCACATGCGAGAGAGAGAGAGAGAGAGAGAGAGAGAGAGAGAGAGAGAGAGAGAGAGAGGGAGAGGGAGGGAGGGAAGGAGAGAGTACCCTCTACTTCTTATCATTTTTCTAATCAGGTCAATGTCGCCACGCGACGATCCGTTGCTTCCTTCAACCAGCCTCGTCGTGCCAGCCGATCTGAAAGTCGACCGATTCGTAAACGAGCAGGACAAGGGCCGTGGCATAAAAAGTAAACTCGAGCGGCGAGATTTAGGACGTAAAAGTGTCGACCAATAGGGACTTCCAGCGTCGCGCCGCTTAAATTTTTCAAAAGGCCGCGTTCTCGAACGCGATGGGCCGTTTTCCCCGTGGCTTAAAGTTTTATCACTTAAATTTTTCCGCGTGCCACGTGGCCCTAACTCCTCTTCAAGCGCGCGTCTCATTGTCAGTTCGATGATTCGACGACATTGTCAAATTCGACATCGATTTGACGGTGTCGACGTCGATCGACGAGTCATTTCTCGCGCGCTGGGCACCGTTTTGTCGTCGCGGATCGTCGCTCGATTGACCGGTGCCGAACTTGCGGCGGAACAAAATCTCGCGCGATCTTCGAGCTGCAATAAATCTCGATATCCTGACCGCACTTTTATTCCCTCCGGATTGGTTTTGACTATTAGCGTCGTCCGAAAGTGCCGCTCGAAATGCGCACCTGCGTCGTTTCCGAGTGAGAAATGACTTCGTCGTAACGATGTCGAGTCGACATCGACACTGTCAAATTGACATCGATTCAACATCAATTTGACGGCGTCGATTCGGCATCGTTTCGACATCGACGAGCCATATATTTCTCGCTGGGTTACGACGGATCGTAAAACCTCACCGCTGTCACTTTCAAATCTGTTCGATTCGGCATATAATTATCGTTCCAGTCAATACCGATCTCAAATAATTATTCAGAATGTACAATTCCGTTGCAATATTTACGAGTTTTTGTCGTTTATTTTTCAATAATGAAACAGTAAACGCGGAATAATATATGACGAACATGATGCATGACGCACGATGCAATCTAATGTAATACAATATATCATTTACGTGCGAACTGTTTTTCTTGACACTTATTGTTAGGGTCAGTGGGATCGTCAAGCGATGATAATTATCGCATTTTTTATCTAAACATCTGTTTGTGCATTAGGAATCACTGATGCCTTCCCATATGTATTTAGACGCGCGTAAACATATACATTTTCCACGTATGCAAAGGGTATAAATGTGTTGATATGTGCACAAATTCACGTGGAAAGGCATCAGTGATTCCTAGTGTATGTACATACATAAGTATACATGTATTTAATTGACACATGTCACAATTATAATTTATTTGGTGTTCGTTATTCAACTTACGATAATTCCGCGTTTTTACTTTTACCCGTACTTTTATTGCGATAAAACCTTAACGATTGAATCATTGTCTCTGTATATCAACATGAAGTTGTACCGAGGAAAGTCTAAATGTTTAATAAAATTCGTATGGCTCAAATGTGATAGACACAAATTTGAAGGAATAAAGGATTGAAATATTATATTTAGACATCAACACCCTGTCACGGCTCTTAGTCCTTTATTCCTTCTTTGTGTCTATCACATTTGAGCCATACGAATCTAAATGTTATCAAAAAATAAAGCAAAGCCCGGAAAAACAAAACGCAAAAGGTGCCAAGAAACAACATCGAGATGTCACATCTCTAGCAATAGCACTGGATCCGGAAATTTTTTCTGTGCGACGTCAATTCGACGGTGTCGACATCGATCGACGAGTCATTTCTCGCCGGGTAGCTTCCTCTTAACGTACACATTTCTTCCCGTTTATATTTTAATATTTCTGGCACCGACAGTAAGTACCTTTAGTTTTTCAGCGTCGTTGAATGCCGCGCTATTATTTCTCGACATACCGGCTCGCGAGTTGACGCGCTTCTTTCGAAAAAGTCGCCGCTCTCTTTTCATCCGCGGCTATGCGCAATTCGCTCATCGCGATGGAACTCTATTAAAGTTTCAGCATTTATAGCTCCGCCGTGGAATGCTCAAGGCGAAAACAAGCGGCCGGCGCGATGCAACAATGCCTTCGACGTTAATGGCGGATGGCACAATGGTGTTGCAATACCGGGAGGGGTATTATGCAACGATCAACGTTATCGTGTACACACGACCGCGCGCGACGGTGTTGAAGATCGGCCGCGGCAGAAAAATGTTTTGCTAACGCGACGATCGGGGATACCGAGGGGATAGACGTTTCAACGAGGGAGACACGTCTCGATTTCGTCTATTTTAGAACGAAAACCCAAAGTCAGTGCAAAACGACGAGAATGCGCCGGCGAGTCCCGTCGTTGATTTCCTTTTCCCGGAAACGTACGCGAGATATGATTTTTTTAATTGCGTCGCGCCCTGCATCCCGATCTCGCCGATCTCGTCCCAGCGAGAGATGTCGAATCATTTCCCTAATAGCACAGTGCATCCCAAGGAGAAGAAAAAGTCTGGATGATGTCAATTTGATGCCATATTGACCGAAATTTGATATAAATTTGGTCAATATGACATCAAATTGACACCATCCTGACTTCTTTTTCTCCTTGAGTTGGCCCGATTACAACCAACCCAGCGGGATGACTCGCCGATTGATGCCGAATCGACGTCGAATTTGACTGTGTCGATGTCGACTCGATATCATTTCGACGAATCATTTCTCGCCGGAAAATATTGGGGCCAATGTTTAAACCTGGTTCAACGTGCTTTCGTGGAATAGCTGCAAGTTGATTGGCTAACAATCAAAATGTGTTCATTTCTCGAAACTAGAAGTTGAACCAAGTTCTAGCATCGCGGGCACAGGCCTTAACCAATGTTTGGTCCATGCACTGTGCTACTAGGGTTCTCACTGGGGTCGGATACGCGGCTGAATCGCGCGGGTGTTACTCGCGCGCGCTTCGCGCTCATCACAGAAATTAAGTCGCATTATCTTCAATCGTCGTACGCCTGCAAATGAAATCCGAGGAGAGCGCGCGTGGCGAAGGGAGGTCTATTATCTTATTTATTCGTGTGCTTACGTATGATTACGATACGCAAATATTCAGCGGTGGTCCACGTGATGTGCGCGTTACGGGTAATTTCCTGCCGCCGGGAAGAAAGTCACGGCGAGATTTCGAGATTATTTTTCTCGTCGCATCGGCGGCGTCTCATTACGTCACGCCGCTCACCTTGGTGCGACAAGGAACATAGGCGCGCGAAAAAATTATATAATTTTGCTTGATACCTATAATGGCAAAATAGTCGCGCGGATCATAGATATGTTACTTATATATCGTAGATCTTATCACTTCTGCGAATGAAAGATATAATCGCGAAAAAAGAAGCACTCCATGTTCCAGCGTCGCGACAGATTGGAACGAAATGTGAAATAACTAAAAATATTCGTTGCAATGAAAGAATTTCGTTTATGTGAGACTGGACTTTATGTGTTACGTTTACTTCATATTTACACACATCACGATTAGACTTTAATCTCTAAATTAAAACTAGATAATAAATTTAATCTAGATATAGTAGGTATGTTATTCTACGAATTGAAGCGAGATAAAATCGAGAAAAAAGAAGCGAAGCATTTTATGTTTTAGCGTCGTGATAATGTTGAAACGAAATGTGAAGTAAAAATATTCGTTACGACGAAAGGATTTTGTTTGTGAAAAAGTGGAATTTATCTTTTGCATTCAGATTTCCCATTTATTTATACGCATTATCGTTAGATTTTAATGTCTAAATTAAAACTAGATATTAAATTTATTTATATTACTTATCTATATTATTTCACGAAACGAGATAAAATTGGGAAAAAGAAGAACAAAATTATTTTATGTTTGAACGTCACAATATGTTAAATAAAATATGAAATGACGAAAAATGTTCACTGTGGAACGATAAAAGGATTTAATTTATGTGAATAAAAATGGAATTTATTTTTTACATTTATTTATACCGCGTCGTTAGGTTTCAATCTCTCGAGCCTAAAACTAGATATTGAGTTTCTGTAATTTCCGACACGTAGTGATTTTTCTATGTAAATCGACAATTTAAAGTGCGATAAAATCTGTGCGATTGATAAATTCTCTGGTTGGTTGAAAGACTCGATCGACTAGATCGAACTATCGAAAAGGCGAGTGTATCGAGCTGTCGATGTGCATCGACTATCCGGACTCGAATCGAATTCGATTCGATTCGAGAAGAAATCCGCGAACCAAACAACGAGCGCTCGAAGCTCGAACCAAACGGCCAGCGTTTGAATATTCGCTCGTTCTCATCTGTTCGTTTTGCACTTTTAATAATACAAGAAATACATATATTATATGTATATGTGTATTTTTTTACAGCGACGAGAAGAGGAAGAGAGAACAGTGCTTTAGCAAAAGGCTCTCTCGAGCGTTGGTAAAAGGCAGAAATAGCCCCGTACAATTCCAAAATAGCATTAACGCGGTATCGTTTCGACAAAAAAGTCAAACGCGTTGAGTCGTTTCCGCCGCGGTTTTGTTCACTTTACGCTACAAACCCTTCGAAGCGTTCCACTTTGGGGAAATGCAGGAAACGAGGGGACGAAAAACGCATCGAAGCATTTTTCAAGCGTTCGTAACGCCGAGCGGATCGGCACCTGTTATTACCTCGACACGCACACAGCTGATCATCTGCACTTTCCACGATTGAAACGAGACAGAAGACGATGCCCGGGTGCCCCGCGCAGGAAGCGAGCGAGCGATCCGAGGAGAGAAAGAAAAAGTCAAGGTGTCAATTTAATGTCATATTGATCGAAATATGGTGCGTAAATTCGGTCAATTTGACATCACATTGCTGTCATCTTGACTTTTTATTTCTCCTTGAGGAACGAGCGAGCGAGCAAGCGAGCGAGAGCGAGAGCGAGAGTGAGCGAGTGAGCGAGCGAGAGAGACAGAGAGAGAGGGAGAGGGAGGGAGAGAGAAAGAGCGCCGCGAAGTGCAGCTGCCGCTGAACGTTCGAGAAGTCCCCACGACGGCGGTCTTCGATGTATCGCGAGAGGACTCCCCGCGGCTACGTTTCCTGCTCGTACGACACGAGGGATGTCGCACGGCGCCGCTTCGCGCTCGTAGGTACCGCAGGATCCGAGGTCGAGACGGGAACGCGCGTGGAGCCAAGGAGGAGGTGGAAGGTCGCGTTAAACGGCGTGTCTGACGCTCCGACGCTGATCGTCGCCGGTCGCGAGAACCCGTCGCTACCGCCAGCACCATGGCAATGAACGTGCCGTACGAGGCGATCGGCAAGGGCTTCGTCCAGCAGTACTACGCGATGTTCGACGACCCGGCGCAGAGGCCGAACCTCATAAACATGTACAACGTAAGGCGCGAGCGACCCCGCCCGGTACCCCGGCACGGGGCCGGTCGACTCTGCCGCGACTCCCTCGCGATTTCCCCGTCCGGTCCCGCCACTGACTGACATAACCTTTTTTTTTTCAGGCGGAGACATCCTTCATGACGTTCGAGGGCTTGCAGATACAGGGCGCAATCAAAATCATGGAGAAGTTAACTGTGAGTAAAGCTCCCTTCCGCCGGCCCGCGATCGATCCACGGTTACGGTGCCTATTCGCGCCCGGTCCATTTCGCGAGAGGTGTCTTTCGTCTTGCGGCTCTATCGAGGAGTATTCTTCCTGCTAGTGGATCGTCCAAGTCCCAGTGTCGGTAGGACCCAAGAGGAGTTTACAGAGTCCGGAGAAACGTTCTCTTCGTAGAAGACGATAGTCTTCACAGCCTTCCTCGTAGGAGGCTTGCGTAGTAGCGTTTAGTTTGATCTTGATACTTTTCTATATACAGAGTTTATTACCGAGAATCTGGAAGCTCACTCGACACTCCTAACTGGTCGATTTGTAAACGGGAAGATTATTCTGGCGTAAAAGTATCGTGAGGTTTGAGAAGTCCAAAATTAATGTAGAAGGATCGATGAGACGGAGCCGGACAGAAACGACAGTACTTAGATATACATAATATATGTGTGCTAGTACGTTAGACTTTGTATTTGCGCTTCGTCAGATATGTTTGGCTCCTACGTTTAATCTTTCTATTTTGATTTTTGCACCTTATTTCATTGTTATCGATCATTATTACTGCAAAGCCGATAAAAGAATTGATGTGCTAATAGTACACTGTTGTATTAACTTCCTTTTCTTTTTCAGAGCTTATCTTTTCAAAAAATAAATCGGATAATAACAGCGATCGATTCGCAACCGATGTTCGATGGTGGTGTTCTCATTAATGTACTAGGAAGGTTGCAGGTAAGGAAAGTACAGCTAGCCACGACAAATATTTTTTTAAAAAAAGCATCTAGCTCGCAAAGTGCAATTAATTTGTTCAGTGGAGGCAACATTGAGTCGTATTATAATACAATTATTTTAAAAAGTTAAAAAGTTCATGTATTTTAAGTAAGTGTGAGAGTCATTTTATGCCAGACCAATCGGTTCAGTAATTTAATTCTCAATTTTTCACGGTTCTGTAAGCTTGATTTTTGCGTACGTATGTGTACAAAAATTAAATTAGTATGCATCAGAATTAAAGATTTCTTTAAGTAAGACGAATTTTTACATGGGAAAACACGGACGGGACTAAAATAGAATCTGTAGGTAGAGAGTGTAGGCGGGAAATAAGTTCTGTGGTCCGTTTTCGTCGGTACCTCGATCTACAGAAAAATGTTCAATGATTATTGATGATCGTGCAGACTGACGAAGATCAACCTCACGCGTACATCCAGACATTTGTCCTGAAGCCGGTCGGTACCAGCTTTTACGTGCAGCACGACATCTTCAGACTTGCGATACACAACACGGTTTAGGCTTCAGGTACCGCAAAATCTCCTTCGTTGCCCTGCGTACCATGTTAACAGGCAAGCCTTGTCCGATTTTTCACATCATGTATTCGCTGTATATCACTTTTCTTTTGTCTTGATTTAGCACAAAATTTCTGGAGCAGTGAAACGCAAGAACGTATCCCCGCATCCAAATAGGCTGTGCTAAAAATCTGTTGTGTTTAAGATAACTAATTGCGATAGCTTTAAGTTTCATCAACATTTCCCACGATGGTCTTAATTTGCAGCTCGATACTCTTCTCTCAATAACTTTGTTACTTGTTTTTATTTTTAATTGCTATTTTCCCCACGCAATTTTATCTCTTCGTTAATATATTTTGCTTAAAAAACTTATTTAATCTAAAGTGAGCACGTTACATAAATATCCATGAAATGTATATGCAATTCGGAGATCTCAGACGCGCAAGCCACAGGTTAGCCGGCTCTCGTAAAAGTTGCGCGAATGTACGAGTCTAGGATCACTGATTTCATTTAACGCGTTACAAATAGCTTGATACAAGATTAAATTGCTGAACAAATTGGAACGATGATTAAGTTACAATGCGAATTAGCATAAAAGAGACCCGTACTTTTAACACTAAAAATTGAATCATGTAATACTTCGACATCCAATCTAATCAGCATTAACGTTGTTTTATTACCAAGCGCTATTTTACGCAGTGCTTGAACACACATATATTGCTAAAAGTACGTAATATAATAGCTTGCGTTTAATTGCAGGCAGACGAGGATCCACCACACGCCTTCTCGCAATGTTTTATCCTGAAGCCAATGGGTAACTCGTACTACTGTCAGCACGATATTTTCCGCCTTAGCATTCATGACAGCGCATGAACGAGGAAGATCGTGCTGATTTTCGCGACGAGCGTGTGAGCAGGCAGGTTGTCGAGCGACCGGATGCCCTGGAGATCATGATTAATAAGTGAGCCACCTAATCGCATCGATAACCCTCTCGTCACAACCACATCCTACCTATCCCCCATTCTTTCTATAGATAATATTACAAGTTTTATATGAAGAATATCTCTCCGCTTATATCTTGGCCACGATAAGGAAAAAAGAAAACCAATCGAGAAACATCCGATATCACACAGTTTAACTAATTTCGTCGCTTTTCTCCGTACAACATAATACATATATGCACACAGGTGCGCAGATATCTGTGTGTCCGGAAAAAAAAAAACGAATCTACATTTCTTAGTTATACGTACTAGCACAACGTGCACACATAAATGTCTCATTGATTGAGAATTTGATTTTTGACGGCAGGTAATATCTTTGCATTACTACGCTTTGAAATGTATTGTAACATATTTTACATTCGAAATGCTGTGTATTTTTGTAACACAAAAAAATGTTGGCCATTAAATACAAGAATACGGAATTAATCAGACAAGTTGATTATCTATTCCACACGGCGGAAACGTGAAACCTTGACATTTTCGTCGGTCGCGACAAAACATACAAGCTCTATTGCAATGTGAACGAATTATTAACAATAGTGATAATGTATCAGAATGTTAGATGGTGCTGAATAAATCTTGAGGCAGATTTTATATAATATACCTTTTCATGTGATATCTCGTATAAGTAGAGCAAATACAATTAAGTACAAAGATACGCATCCTACACTCTTGCTTTATAAGACTACTTTACGCCGACTAACGGTTTTAATTTTTCATATATATATCAGCAGCAATGTTGATATCCTACAGATTCCCACGTTTTGCTTGCTCCAACTCGATCGCTTCGAACAACGCTTGGAAATTGCCGGCGCCGAAACCCTAAAGAAGAAATGGCAAATTGAATTTGCGATTACTTAAAGTACCAGTTAATTTTTCACGTTTTTAGGTGTTATATTTAAATTTTGTAACTAGATGTAAAATTAGATGCTACTCTTTTCAATACTTACGTTATGATTGCGCCTCTGTATGACTTCTATGAACAGCGTCGGCCGGTCTTGCATATTTTTCGTGAATATTTGTAGAAGATATCCGTTCTCATCGTAGTCTATTAGTATTTTTAATTTCTGCAAGGCGATAACGCGATCGAATCAATAGTAAACGCGTTGCAACTTGTACCGGAGTTCTAATTCGTTATCAATAAAGGTACCTGTAGTATATCCATGTCCTCCACGATTTTCGTGCCACTGGCTTTCAGGCGGTTTCTCAGCATGTCGTAATAACTATCGGGCACGTGCAGAAACTCCATCCCTCTGGCACGCAAATTCGTTATCTGCAAAATGGAGTGTGAGAATGAATGTGCGGAGGGACTTGCTGCGAGCGCACGACTATTTTTTTTAGGAAATATAATTTAATAAAATAAAAATATCAAATTATATGTCAATTATTATTAATTAATTACAATCGAAGAATAAAAGTATTAAGAGACCATTTTGTGATCAAAAAGTTGATTTTTTAGAGCCGCTTCTATACTGCATAGTACATGCATCTTGCAGGATACGTTAAGCAGAAGTGCAATTAGGATATTCAATTACTTACTGCTGTAATAATGTCACTGGTATTGAGGGCAATATGCTGCACGCCGGCGCCGCCGTAGTACTCGACGTATTCCTGGATCTGGGAGAGTTTCTTCCCCGGCGCGGGCTCGTTAATCGGCATCTTCACCGTCTCCTCCCAATTCGACATCACGATGGACCGTAGAGCGGAATATTCCGTGTGCAGCTGCGTGTCGTCCACCGACCAGAACCGATGAAACTGTAAACACTCCTCGTACCTGAGAGATAAGGGGGAAGAGAAATCGTCACTTAATTTAGTATTCTATTCTTTTAGCCCAAGAATATCTTATCAAAGGCAGAAATTTGAGAATGTTTAACTTATGAATTTCATGCAACTCGATAAGAGTCAACCTTATTACGCGCATTTTATTATATATATTAATATTCTAAGTTACTATCTTACTAATGAATTGTTACACACGCTGCTATCAACTATTACCTAGAATTAAGAGAAAAAACGTGTTGAATTATATATACGACTTCTCATTACCATAAATGTGTTTATGTTCACAAGTAGATAAATCTACATACCATTTCGCAACGGGTTCCATCTGCTTGTCTGGTTGATTACCCACCACATGGTCCACGAAATTTAAACGTATCTCTGGCCTGTGAGAATTAAGAGAAATATGTCGATATAATTTAAGTTTAAAGTCAGCCTCCTATCTAACTAATTCCTTATGTTTCTCTTGAACTTGATATATTAAAGATCAAAAGTCTAGGATATTTTAGATACCTTGTAATTTAAAACAAGGAACATCCTTTACTTTTCTAACAAATAAAGGATATTCTTTTTCGTTAAGCAGGAACATTGTGAGATATTATTATTAAGGCATTCGAGTTTACTTTTTAGAGTAAAATGCTTCTAGTTTTTGCTACTTTGTAAAGAATCGCACGTTTTGCATTGCGTACAATTGTTTGAGAAGAGTGTCCTCTGTCGCCCTCGTGAAGCCTGGCAGGAAGAAGCCATTGTACTTCGTCCTGTCGACGAGCGTATGGAGTGTATCGCCATACTGAAAATGACATTGAATTAATTGACAAGAGATGACGATATCGCGGGTCACGTGGAAAGTATTATTTTTTGTACTTACAGTTTTTAAGGTGGCCATCCTCACGGTGCCGTACTCGTCGCTTTCCTCCCATATGTCGCGCACTATTTCGGCGCCCCTTTTCTTGGCAATCTTTTGACACGCGTTGTTTAAAATATTAGTGAAGACTTGAACATTTACCTTACTATTATTTGATAGGAAAGAAGTTTAAGTGGTTCTTTTAATTATTTTAATACCGGAAAGGATATTTCTTGCAACATGAAAACTATACTTTTAGGCGAAGACGAAGCGTCTCCCTTGTTTCTTTACCTTAACAATAGTGTCGACATCTTCAACGTTGAACGCAACATCTCGCACGCCGTCCCCATGTCGGGAAAGATGTTTCGACATTTCTTCATTATCAGGTTCGTACGGGGATTCGAACACGAACACTATCTGCGATTACAAGCTTGATAATTAGGAAGCTCTATGTGGTTCGGTAGATTACATCAAAGATTTCGAAAAAATGCCGTTCTTTATCTCGTTAAGCAAGCCACTGAACGAGGTAACGATATCGGAGATGTTTTTCCAACATTATCTAACTTTGATCTATTTTACTGTGCATGCATTTAAAGTTACTTTGTTCTGTCTGACGACGTGCGCGGCTGTTCGTCTGGAGCCAGTTTCTAAACCGCGATATCCAAACGGCTGGAAACCCATCCTGCATCGATAGAAACTAGCGACCTACAAGTAATTTTGTTGTTCAATTTTCACGTATAATCTGTAAATATTTACTTTACTTTGTTACGTTTAGTTTCTTGGTATGTGGATATCTTGATATGTGGAAACGTTACAAAGATGAATTTAGGGCCCAAAACCAACGAAGTTTATAATTTGATACGTACTTTGATAATTGATAAAACTCAAAGACAGCTACAGATAAAGAATCATATTGAACACAATACGTTTCTCACTTATTCCTATGGTATTCTTCATGTTTCCAAAAAATTGGCACGTGAGAACTTACCTGTTTCGCATTTCCGACCCAGAATCTTATGTGATCGAAACTGAGGAATTTTCCTCCAACGGGCTGAAAAAGTATGAATATAGCGCGTCACGTTTCTAGTAGCAATTTTCTCTATAATTACTATATAAAAATTTGAAATAATAGTAGTAATTCCAAGCGAGAAAACAATTTGTCTTCTCTCCAACACTTTGATAAGGGATGATGTCTACCTTGGGTCCTTTATCGGTGTAGGTCGTCTGGAAGCAAACGCGAGGAATTGATTATTTTGACGTATATTTGGAGTAAATCCGATTAAGAAATAATTATTCTGTGTATATTATGGAGGATTTTTAAAAAATTCCGTTTTGCAAATTATAAATGTTGGACAATTACACATTAGAGGAGCAATTGTGATCAGTGAACAAGTTAATCAAGATAAATGATAAAAAATAAGTCTGTTATCAGGTGACTGTTCTCCAACTTACCATGATGGTCGTGCCAGCTTTCGAAATCGAGGAAAACGGTAAAGAGTATCCTTCTACGACGCTATCGAGTGCCCGATTAAAGTAGAACCTCGAGTTCCGCTTTAAATATCGAGCCCGCCGACGATTCACTGGCCGGCTATTGGTCTACGATGTCACGTTATTGGTCTACACTAGTCTACAGTGAGGGCTTGTTTGCGCCACGTTCTCCGTGGTCAATGGTCCATAGATCAAACCGGCAACGACAGCAGGTTTTTTTAATTAAACGCGTGATTAAAGCTGGATACACTCAATGATACGCATTCGAGGTGGGCTCGCCTTCCTAATTAGCATAGGAGGAGACATTTCACCGATTAATCCTAGAGTACCGCATACCATATACGTACGTGATAATACATAGACGAGGTTTCTGAAGGTTCCCGGTATAACATAAATGTCTTCACAATTAATAAAATTTATAAGGCTCTAATGTGAAAACACAAATACGAAGTAATAAAGGAGTAAGAGCCAAGACAGGATGTTAGTGTCTAAATCATTTTAATTTTTTTAGCTTACCTACCCTCTGAGAGGGAGGTCCAGGTTCAAACCCTGGCTGAGGTATTATTTTCGAAATAGATTAAAAATTAAAATTATTTATACACTAACATCCTGTCTTGGCTCGTACTCCTTTATTACTTCGTATAAATGTTTTCGTTACAATTAAATATTTTCTGATAATTCAACTATTACACGTTATAAAACGATGTAATTTTACAAAAATACACGCGCTTATTTCTTGCAAAATTTTTGCATTTTTTGTGGACGAAACCTGGAGAGTTTTGAGAAATTTGTATACACGCTATTCTATGATGTTAAAGTCGAATAAGTAGAAACGGCACAACAGTTTTCCTGCATTTATATAAAACTCGCGATATGTATATAAAGAACGATTTAAAATATCTTTTTCAATTCCTCGATATCTATTTTATTGGCTTCGACGAAATTAAAAAAACGTGGGGATTTCATTTGTCACCTTCGGCATATAAAAGTAGTTTTTCGCATAAATATCTCACTTTCCGCAATACGTAGCAAACATATTTATGCCGCATGTTAGAATGCAGTTTTTCTGTGCACACACCCTCTAATGCATTTATGCATTTATTCTACGTAATATTAGATCGGAGCATGCTTTTTTGTTGTTTACGTTAAACGCTTCGATAGCAAATGCAATGACTATCTACGTCTACGCAATTGTTAATTTTAAGTTTCATCCATTTATCGGGAGTATCGTGGCACTCAATCGATTGTCACTTCGCGAATGGTTATTTAAATTAAAATTCAAGAATTACATATTATACAAAAAATCATAGAGTGCGTCCAACAATAAGAGTAATCAAGAAAGTATGTAAAGAATCGATATCGTGGCGATCGTGGCGCAGAGGATTGTGCGCTGATCTGGTAATCCGAAGACCTGGGTTCAAAACCAAACAAAACATTGTTGGTTTTTCGTTCGATCGCCACATAGAGAAGTGGAGGTAGAGAGAGGTGTTATAAGAGGTTTGGGCACGTTCCTTCAAAAACGCCTTGTAACCCTAAGGGGAATCAATAAAATGTGTCTACATCTACATGTGTAAAGAATGATAAATCGCTTTATTAGACTTCATCGCAAACAAAACACATGGACTATCAGACACAGAGAAGAAGTCATTAGAGAATTCAGATAATGACATAACATGATTTAACTCTGCTCGCCAGAAATCTCGTACGCAATATATTAGCATAAATTAATCTTAATATAAATATTTGGAAGTATTGCATATCGTTGTCACGAAAAACTAGTCTCGCGGAAGATTTCTGCATCGAGATCATCGACATTTTTATGCAAATATTACGAGACAAAAACGGACTCGGCACCGAGATAGCGATGACGTTGCGCATAAAATATCTTTACATTAAAATTGACAATGTCGAGCAGATGATTCTTGCAATATTACCATCTCTATTTTTCCCCTACAAAAGCAATTCGGGCGACTAGAAATACTGGACGCAGCGCGTTTGCGGAATACTGATTTCCGTCTTTTTTCCTGGAGAATATATACCTTTAACTATCCTCTAATAAAACTGAGACTGGCTAAATCGTACTGATTAAAATACAAATAAGTTACTAACGGCTCGTTATGTATATGTACAATAAATCGACTCTATACAGGATGTCCGAGAATCAATGAAGCGTCGTTCTCACAAAATTTGAAATCAACCGTTTCCTTTATCAATATTCTAACTTCTTAGTAACTCTGAAACAACAGAGCAACTATTTTTATAGTAATCATAACGAATTGTAATCAATCCAACCAAAATCTTGAGGGCAAAATTGCTCGCTTGAAAAATTAAATTACGAACGACATTACATTATTTATCCTCACTTTCGAAGCCTGATTCCCGAAAGACTTCTCATTTCTAATGACCTATAAATCAGAATCTAGTGAGATATGCCTCATGATATACTGACAGAACTGCCTCCCAATTTTAAGAACAATAATGCTATCTACTTTCCGTCGATTCTAAGACATCTTATATACAATAACATGTATAATACAAATAACATTTGCTATGACATATCGGCTTGCATTATTGATGAAAATGGTCAAGTACAAACTGGTTGGTCGACGATCCGCTATAGTAGAAAATTTTTTGACCCATATTACACGATAGGAGTGCATAGGTACACCATAGCGGTATATAAAAGCTCATTGATCATAGCCGATTCACCTGGAATTACGCCTCGGTACGTTGGAAAATCACAGATTACAAAAATACACGTAGAAAAACCGTATATCTTCCGTTGTTAAAATTATTCCGTCAAAATAACGTTCGATTCTTCTCTCTTGTACTGAATATGATAATCTCTCTTGCCGAGAGCAAATAAGCGAAATTGTGAACGTATGCATTAGCCTCCTCTTTTTTTCTGACAGAAAAGAAAAAGAAGTAACGCCCAGTTCTGGATTTACAGTAACACGATCCCGTGGTCTCTTTCCAATCGACGCTTCGCTTTGAGAGCCACGATCCCCATCAGGTCCGCTGGGGTAGGAAGCGCCGCAAAAGCACTCGGTGCCACCGCTTGTTGGTAGAAAACTTCTACTCCCCCGCTCTGGTTACCATAAACCACCGTGTCTTCCGTTCTGTTCGAGAAAGATATTCTTTTATGGCAGAATCTTTTGGCAAATTCAATTCTTGTTGTAAACATCTCAACACATTCGCTTGTTATAATCCACTTTATGTCATAAAAATTTCGTAATTTTCGACAAACTTATATGGAACCTGGTAAAGTAAAACGTTATAGCACTACAAGGAAATCTTAATCCATTAGATATTTGTTTTACGAGAACAATTCGCACAAAACTAAAATTAATTTACGAAAGAAAAAGAAGAATTTTAATATAAGTTAGATAGAAAAAATTTTGTTTCAGTTTATACGTGCTAAGAGTTTCGTAATTACCTGACGATAATGTCTGTCAAATTGCTGGCCTGCGTAAATCTGTCGTGAAGGCAAGATACGATGTCCAACTCAGTAACGCCCCAAAGTCCGGAACGCTGCACCGTGTCCCACTGCGGATCCACATTCAGAATACTGTACAACTCTTTGTTCTCCGTGGATGGCATCGGTTCCAGACACTGCTGCAACCGCGATTCGAGCTTACCCAACGTGCTCACGCAGGTATGCCACTATACAAAACAAATCATTTGTTATTACTCTTATCCATTATTACTTTTTACAGGGATAACATGTGAGAATATTTCGGACAATTCCTTTTATAATCTCTTAAATACTTTTTGTCATGTTTCTCTTAAAAATTGACATTCTGTCGTATTATTCAAGAACGATTCTTCGTAATTTTTATCTTTATGAAATGTCTAAGTTTAGGTCTCTTAACTTTTTAAATATATCTAGAAATTTAGGTACTTTTTAGATATCTAGATGTAGTAAATTTCACAACACATGAATTTTCTGACACTTACCAGAGCATGTATCAAATCCGGATTGTTCGCGGTGCCGTTCTCCATCAGCAACACCAGCACCATGTTCTGATAGCCGCAGAGAAAGAGCTCAGTCTTCACGAGGCAAGCGGCGGGCTCGTCCTTGTTGACCCAATCCTCGTCCAGCTCATCCTCGCCATCGCTCGCCTCCTTCTCGACGGACTCCAGTTTTTGCCGGATCAGCTGATTCGTCGTTGCCGTAGTCGCGGTGACCGTTGCGCCACCGGAGAATCCAGACAGATCGCGGAATTCGCTCGGCGTGGTCTCGCGGCTGCAGAAACCGCTGGTTCGCTCATCGGCCAGTAGACTCAGCTTCGACATCAGCGGCGTCAACTGCAAACCGTCCAGCTTCCGTCTCTGCGGAAACTCGAACGTGTTTCCAGCACCGCCGCACTCCGACGTTGATTTCCGCCGATCGTCACCGTTGGACACCTCGGCAACAATGTTGAGCGGTTTCAGCGGCAGACTCATCGATCTCTTATACGTTTCTTGCTTGCTCTTGTCATACCCAGGCTTGGCGCATTCTGTAGGTTTATATTTAAAACAAATAATTGAAACGCATGTTTCGAACACTAACTCCTGTCTTTAACAACGTTGGAGATGGATCCATTTTCTATTAAAAGAACTTCTTGAAGCATTTTTAGATGTAAAGTGTACCTTCGCGAGAGTCCTTCGTGATGGAGTTCCGGCTGCTGTTTATCGGTAATTTCGCACTCGTCAGGTCGCTCGGCAAACTCCTCGATTGCAGATTGCCGTCGTCGCCACGACGCTCGTGAACGTCGTCGCCGTTGTCGCGCAGTTCCTCGCAGTGCGAGGCGACGTATTGCTCGTACAACGATTGCGAGACCGGTAGACCATCGTATCGGAAGACGGGATAGCAGGGATCGACGATGGTACGAGAGTGACGCAAACTACTTCTGGTGAGCTTCCGCCGGGGTGAATTCGAATCGCGGTCGTCCGGCGAGGCTTCATTTAATTTGGACAATCTGTTAGAATAGTTAAATATAATAAGAGATAGTTTTATCAAAATTAAGTTCGGCCGCATTATTCAACTTGATTGTTTCCATTACTTTTTTAAGCGCAATCACCAATTTAATCGTATTCGGTAATCAGGTGAGTGTAGCATAGTACAACTAGTATGTTCACTCCGTCATTTGTTTGGATTTGCGTTGATCCCTTCTGCGCATCCCTCCATTATTTTGGTCAGGCCAATGAGAGGAAAGTGGTATGTGTGGTAGTGTAGCTTTGACGAGTACATACCACACGCACACCGCTGGATTGCTGACCAAAGCAACGGCGGGATACCACGTGATCGGGACCGAAAAGATCAAAGGGCCCGACAGAGAGTGAACGTACTAGTTATGCTAAGATTACAGCGTTAATTCAATTACATTTTGTCCAGCTCCAGTTGACGAGTCTTAGGAATACCGTTCAGACGTGGCTTAATTGATGACGTCAAGTCTGGTAGACTCATGCTCTTCCTGTCGGGATCTTTCCTCTTTATCAGTTTCTTCTTCGAGGTAGCGTTCCTCAGCTTGTTCAGGCGTTTGCATCTGTTACGTGTAATCAAATTTCGATAACTTTGTGTACTGGATAAATATACGTCACCAAGTTTACTTTGTTACTTCGAAATAATCTTACGTTTCACACAATTTCCAAAAATTCGTTTGAAAGCAAACAAGTACCTGAGCGCCTCTTTGACGACGTCGGGAATGTCGTCGTTGTCGTCGCTTTTCGACGAGCCTCTGTGTCCCTCGTTTTCACCGCCGCTCTCGGACGAGCAGATGAGCATGGCGTTTCCGTGCAACACTCGGTCCACGTCTTTCAACGGCGTCGCGCAGACACTGGGTGTGAGCGGATTCGTAGTGACACCAACCTTGGAACGTTCCGACTTGTTTTCTTGCTTGCGCCTGATCGGCGACTCGTGGTTGACCGCGAGCGGCACAGACGACACATATTGTGGCGCTGACGAGTAACTCGTCGAGTCCAGTTCGCCTTCCTCGGGAACCGTGAAAATCTTCGACGTATCTCGCTTCATGCCGGACGTGATGGGTGGTTCCTTGACGCCGGTCTTAGACACGGTCTGAAAGTTTATCGGTTGTTACAATTTTCGTTGAACAGGCAGAATATTCCGTTAGATTTTACATATATACGTTGTGTTATCGTTTCGTATACTTACTTTCCTCTGTAATATTTTCTTGGTCACGGTATCTAGACACGAATTGTAGTACCGCTCGTTATTCGCCTCTCGCATCAATTTTGCGAATTGCTTCCGCTCTATGTACACTTGTAACAATTGAACACCGATTGGCAAGTGAAATTCTGTGGATATCCTTTCCGCAGGAGCCTGCAGATTTACGGAATTGTGAATTACTTCGTCGACAGAAGCGATTTATATTTAATTTCCAAGTCTAATTGAAGAAATACCTTTATCCTGTAAGGATCGGTTATGACTATTTGTTTCGTTAGATCTGCTCCCAGCTGTGTTGAAACTATCCTGAAGGAGGAACAAAGATTAGTAAAAATCAGATTTAAAAAACGCCCCAATAACTAATTACTAACGTCAGAATAAAAACAATACTTTTATTGTTTTACAAAAATCTCTACCAAAACACGATATCGAAGCAACAATATGATTTTACTTATAAATGTCTGTTTCGTACTTGTTATTGTAAAACAATGCGCCGCCCAAAATGCCGTTTATTTCTTGATAATGCTGCAACACTTGCATTCCTTCCAGAAATATGTTGCTGGCACTCTGTGTTAAAAGAAGGATACTTTAACGTAAGAAAGGAAATGTGAAAAATAGAAATGTACGATCGTCTTAATATCCTGTCGATATTTGGCATTTGTTTTCGTGCTTGCAATTAGTATTATCTGCACTAACCTTGGGAAGCTTAATAACAGGAATGTTGGAGAACAGATTGGCACTATGTTGAAGAATTGGCAGATAGGTCTCGAACATCTGATACAATTTCTCGGTGAATCTATTACGATCGTTGTTGAGGGACTCCAGTATTTGGACAAGGTCGCAGTGGAAGAATCTCAGCAACGATTCCAGGGTGTCGGCGCGTCTCTCGAGTACCCAGTCGTGTATGTTTCTGTCAGTCCCCACTGCCTAACAAAATCAAGCAACGTGATTTACGATTGTTAACGTTGTCTCGCGTAGCTGTTGCGTCGTCAAGTACAACGAATATATTAGCTCTTTGTAAACATCGCGCGATGATCGAATAATTGTGTCACCAGATAACGTCTCTATCAACCGAGTGACAAAACGCAGTAATGTATAGAAGAAAGTCCTCTATTGTGAGATAGCAGGTTTTCAACATCTAAATTGCCAATAAAAAGTCCAATAAACGGATTTTACTCCAAGGGCAATAAATTCACGACAAAACCAGCTGATGCCTATTGATTTAGCAAAAGCCCTGCGCTTCTCATAATAGGAGACTTTCTTCTGTATGTAAAGAGAACATTTATCACGCGGTACGTGTACTCGTGTACTCCGTATCCCTTGGAAAAGTCCTGAGATAAGCCAAGACACTCACTGGTATTGATATTCTTGTTTTCGATATTAATATTACTCGGCAGCTGTTGAGTGATTATTAAACACAATCATATTACAGTCAATTCCAAATGTTACGCTACAGATTATCTATTTACATACATCTTACTCAAGTTACGTCTCTTATCTAAAATCGTTTGGCGCCGCAGAGCGTCGGGCGAACCGTTCCACGGTGAAATAAACTCACCAATACATACTGCCCGAACTTCTTCAACACGAACTTTCCGCCTTGCAACGTGATAGAGCGCGGCGCTGAAAACGACGTGGTCAGGAAGTGATGCACCCCCATCAGCTGTCCGGCCAGGGCCAGTCGCTGCGTGAGAGACACCCAAGCCGGATGAAAGTACAGCACTGCTTCGGCAGGGTCATCCTCCTCTTTACAACACTTTGCAGTGTCGTAAACGAATACTATCATCATCTCCCTGAAAACAAAGGTTTTATTCTAGACCCGAAGAACGGACTTATTTGGTTTTAAGCAAATATAAAGGTTCGGGTGTACAGGATACATGATATAGATACAAAACATAATATCGATTCACGTGATAAACTTACAAGCTCACAATTACAGCTTGTATCGAAACAAAACAGCAAGCTTGCAAACGTGACAAATCGTATTACGTAACTCTCGTGGAGGGACCGATGTACTTATTGTTCCTAATTACAAGATCGTTAGGAGCTTACCCAGATCTAATCTGTCTAAATATATTGACAATTGCAAGGGTATCTTAAAGTATTTCATTGTAGAAAGTCGCACTGGGCAGCGCAGAGAACGCGTTTCGCGGAGCGCTTCAGCTTTGGTGCACGACTGAGTGAATCATTCGCGAGCGAAGTAATCACCCGATCGGGTCCAAGTAACCGATACGGCATCGAGGCGAGATAAGATTAAGCTGCCGCAAGCCGCGCGCACTCGTCGGTTCGCCAGTGCTCGCGGCAGCCCGAGGCGGCCTGGACAGGCACGCTCTAACGGGAGATCGCGTCGGGGCGATTTCGTTTCCAGGGGGTCCATTCTGCACCTTACGCTATAGCGAAAATGCGTGAATAGCTTTGTCTCACTCTACCCGTCCCTTTAAAAAAGAAAAGAGACAAAGCCGCTGACTTTTACGCCCGGTCTACAATGAGTTGTTAGTCGTTAGTCAGAAGTCGGAACTATATGTCGGTCCTTTTTCTTCCACCCAGAAAGGAAAAGGATCAACATATAGTTGCGACTTCTAACGACTCATTGTAGACCGGGCCTTAACATTTTCACTAAATCGTAAGATACAGAATTGACCTCCGGGATTAAAACGCTCGAAAGAAGCGCGTTCTCTCGAGGAACCCGCGGAATCTGTCACCGTCGCGCAATCGCGACAGTAAACATCGAAAATCGCAAATAGTAAACAGAGCGTCGTCGTCGTCGTCGCCGAGACCCGCTGTCCGGCCGCGGGCGTGTGCGTGCGCGTGCCTGTGCGTATTCTAATTAGATAAGGCGGCGCGGTTACACGCGCGGGCATACTTCGCCATGGTGACGGCCGTTAATCGTCGTCTCGGCGCAGCGCGCGGCGGACTCCGTCAATCCGCGGCGGCCTCGCGCCCGCCGTTCTCCGAGGTGACGGGCTCGTCCCGTCGACGAGGACACGGGGGGTGTGCGACGTCCGCCGCTAGTGCGATCCCGGGCGATCCTCCGCAGCAGCCCGCAGGTGGAGACGATCCGTGGCGCCTGGCGTCCGCGTCGTCGACCGGCGAGAAACGCCGCGGTGTGCCATTTCTTCCAGACCCGCGACCACCGTCCGTGCACGATCCGCGCGGAGCCGCTCCTCCCGCGCCGCCATACTGATATTGATCTCCCGCTAGTCCCGCTGTGGTGGATCTGTGTGTGCGCGCGCGTGTGCGACGCAGGTGTAGGCGGGCGTAGCGGCGGCCGCGTCCGCGCCCGCGCAAGTTTGCTCGCACCCTCGTTTGGAATGTTGCACGTTTCACGCGCAGCAATTTTAAAAAGAGAGGAAAGCGAAGTCTGCGGACTGTAATTTTATTAAGGAGGACGGTTGCTGAAGTAAAGATGATAAAATAAATTCAAATTTATAGAAAATATTCGTCTATGGGAATCTCTGTCCTCTATGTAAAAGTTTAAGACGATTGTCTGCACGGTTGTCGAATAATTAATTATTAAAGTTATACTATATTGCACGTGGCCAACGTAGCAAAGTATTACGATATCTGTAATTTAATTCTCGAAAGCATGTTAAAAATGATAAGAATTTTATAAAAATAAGTGCAAACAATTCTATACATATTTACGAAGAATTTTGATAATGTATACATATCTTTCTCCGTTTATTATTCTTGAATAATTAAATCATAAAGATGTTCGCATTGATGCTAATTTGGGAGACTCCATGAAGATCTGTGCAAAAGCAGCGTGCAATAGTGGAGCACACACTTTTGCATAAATGCATAAGCATATGAATAAGGAGAAATTGATTGGTCCGCAGGCAAACCCCGGTAGCACAATATACTGGCGCAATATTGGGAAATAATGTAAATCTAGTATTCCCAATACTGGTCCAATGTTGTAAGACGGACGCCTTCTCTTAGCCGATATGTCCACTCAGCAATACTGGTCCAATATATTGTGCCAATTTTAGGTCAATATTCTTATTACATCGTTAAATATTGGTCAATGCACTTCCAATATATAAATATAACATTATATAATTATTACTGTGCAATATTTCCATTTATTCCATGGCCAATGTTCGCTTTACATTGGACACTATCAGTCAATGCATTTCTAATATAACCGACATTGGGCCAATGTTTAGCCAATGCACTGTGCTACTAAGGAACGCGTAAGGAAATAGACCAATCCAGTTCATTATGCATATATGCTTATGCATTTATGCAAGTGTGTGCTCTCCGCTTTAGGGTCTATCCAAACGAATTAGCATAGGCGCATAAGCATATGCATAAAGAAATTGATCTACTTCCTTATGCACGCACTTACGGTCCAATCAGATTCCTTATGGATTTATGCAAGTTCGTCTGGATAGACCCTTACCGAATGTCTTCTTGCGAATAAAAAATCTTGTGCGCCACATGAGAGCTTTGCAAGTGTCAATTATGTAATTGCAGCAGTACTCGTACGGATCTTCTCCAGCAACATTTCAAATCGCTGAAACATAAAGCGAGGGCTCGATAAGCATTAAATAATGAGATTTGCTAAAAAGGCACGAAAGAGACCAAACCAATGCTGGTAATTGAAAGTAGTGCCGCTTTAACGAGATAAACGAACCTTTCTGCACTTTTCACTGGTATTTTTATTTTCTCCTTGTTTGGAAATCAAAGAATTCTACAATTGTATCTCTCTGCGAGATAAACTTTCCCGTTTTTTTTTCACATCTGTGTGTAGCTTTGTGGTGTTGTGTATGTGTATATATACATAAGCAGCCCGTCGCTGCCCATCCCTTACGATCTAAACGCCTATATGTGAGTCGTCGATTATAAACAATTTCATAGAAAATTTATTTATGTGATTAAAACAACGCATAAGTAAATAGAATCGTAATCGCTAGCTTGCGTGTGAGCACGAGACGATAAACGAATTTGTACAATTTATTATGCGTGTAATCCTAAAAAATAGTCTTACGGCTATACGATGACACAACTGCAGTCCTCTTCTTTTCTTTTCTCTTTCATATCGGATACATTACAAAGAAAGTAGTAAGGTGGAGTTAGCATCACTCTCGACCGTCTCAAGTGTACTCGTCGGATAGCCGATCGTTCCACCTCCTTTTTTTTTTCGCGCGACTCGGACCATCGGACGTGAAATCACGGTCGCATATTGTATGTACATACATAAATAATAACGTAACACGATGAATGGCGCATGAATTCTGAACCACAACTTACAGCTACTGCATGAACTCGAAGTGAACGTGACGGTTTACGCACGAAATCATGTCTATCTAGAGTCCTATACGTGTATAAGAAAAAGATTCTCGATATACAAAAAATAAACTTGCAGATATTGTTAGATACATGTCATAGCGAAGATTTAAACCTTCACAGTCCTGTATTTCATCAATTCGAGCTCATAGATTTTGTTAGCTTACATCGGTGTTGGATAATCTAGTCTCACATTTCTCTTAAAAGCTGTTGTGACGACATTCGTTGCGCAGGAAATAATGTACGGTCAGAAAGGTCGTGCAATAAGTTTTCGGAATATTCGTACGTGTCATTGCATGAATATTCGTACGTATCATTCTTTTACTCTAATACGTCACTGCACACATCCAAAATCTATAATGCCTCGCATGATAGACTGTATTTCTGAAATTTCGTCATAAAACGTCGGACAACCTTTCTTACCACGACTGTACCTCCACGCGAGAACTCAACGTTAAAATCATAAATAATTAAGTGGGATTCCAATCTCTCTTAGAAGCGATTCACGCAGTGTGATTTTATTCCGGAGACGAGATAATTTTGCGACTCGAGAAGAGTCGCTTACATATCACTTATATGTACTTTATACAGTGGGTATCACGTTGTTACAAATTTGCTCCATTTCCTGCCAATCGAATCTATTCCATTTATCCCCTTGTAAAAAATACACAAGCAATGTTATAACGCGAGGAAGAGGCAAGCCTGCGTTTCGCATGGTCTGAATGCGGCTTCATAATAATGTTCGCTATTCGCGCGACAAATGGAACATTCTCATACAGATGCTCATGTAAAACTGTCGCTGAACGTTACTTGTCCGAGGGAAATTACTTTCGTAGAAAGAAGTTCTTTCATTTCAAGTGTTGCAGGAAGTGTAAAGAGGATTTGAAGAATGACTTAGAACGATGAATCGTCGACTGTAAAGAGTTAAATTGGACGGCTAGTGAGTGTGTTAAAAGAACAAAACGGACCGTATGATTGTCACTAAACCTTCCATTTCTACATGTCCAAAAAGAGGACACAGATAAAAAGGGATTCCAGTAATAAACGAAAAATTATTATATTACATAATTATATATTATATTTTAATAACGTAATTATTAAAAAAGTGAACGTTACTCGTACTATATGGCTTATATATTTTTTTTACGCAATAATAGACGACAAAACGAAGGTATATTCTCGGAGATAAAAATTAAACTGCGATACGGCATGAGCGGTAAGTTCTGGTCTAAAATTCACACTTCGTACAGCACAATTGGAGCTGAGAACTCAGTAAATTGCAGTGTGGAAGGGTGGGGTGGGGTGGGGTGGGGGTGGGGGCGGGGAAGAGGAAAATGTTCACACAACTATAATAAATAGTGGAGACCGGTGCCTTCTCTACTTTTACATACTTAAGTCTATTCCGAGAGAGTTTCAGTTTTTTTCTACATACTGTACTGGCACAAACTGTTCAGTTTTCTGCTTTCCATAAAACGCACTGCACTAAATTAATTCTCGTGCACTCTCACTTCGACTCGATTCCAAACACGGCTACATTGGTTTTTCTTTTTTTTTCTTTTTGATTGAATTACTTCCCTTCCGAGAACTTCTCCCTCAGACTTTTAATCTTGTGGACGAAGTACGTCTCTAGGGATTCAGCGCATTTGAAAAATGGTGACTCCTTCGGGTTGTAATACCGACAATTATCGAATATCTTCGTCATGTCACCAATGAACTCGCTCAGTTTCTTATAGGACCGGTCATTTATCCTTAATTCAATAGTTTGCAAGTCTAAAACAATAAAATATGCATATATATTATGCTCAACGAAAGACTTACGCTTTTATATCAAAATGATACATCTGAAGAGAGAAAGATTACTAAAATGATAGTTATGCTGCTACTTACCCATTGGTTCCTTTATCACTTTGTAATAATCTGGCGCTTCGTTAGGGTCTACCGGTTCCATAAACGGCCATGCACTTTTATGAGCCTATAACAATTTGCACATTCTGAATATCGTGTGTCTTACATAATCTTTTTGAACAGAATGTTCAAACCTTAACCAAAATTAATGTTTTCGCATTCGAATATATCCAGTGTATCAGTAAAAAGTACATTACCTTTTTAGCTTTTTCACTTTTATTTGTTTTAATAAATAATAAAAAAGCAGTAATAAAGAAAATAATAAAAAAACTTTTACATGGCAATTTCTAGTAATTGACTATATAAAATTACTTTAAAACCTTTATCAGAGATATTTTCTGCTAAGACTAAAGAACTAATTTAGACGAATCGTAGATAATAAGGTAATGAAGATGATCTATACCTGTATTTGCTTAATTAATTTCTTTAACAGATCGAGGTCTTTTGCGTTGAGGTTTTTCATGTTAGCAAAGTTGACGGAGGAATTGCGCTGGCAATTTGGACAAACATACTCGTCGATGTTGTCGGCCTCTGATTGAAGAATGCCGACACATCGGCCGTGGAACCAATCTTGGCATTTGTCGCAGCATATGTAAAATCTTGAAAAGAAATTAACGCGTCACTTCTAAATTTTCACGGTATAATAAAAAAATTTAATAAAAAAATATAATTAAAAATATAATATTAAAAATTATGTAATCATGTGTAATTTAATATTAACATTGCATATATTAAAAACATCTATATTAAACGCACGTACAAGCATATAAATATACTATACTTTTTCTTTTTACTAGATATTTCCATTTACTTAATTCCTTGTCGATGCATAATGCACTTACTGAGATTCGTCATAAGGCTGTTTACACAGGCAATACAACTCTTGTGTATCTCTCGCATGTCTGCATTCTGTACAAACGAATTCTGACAGAGACTTGCTTATTTCTTCGGTTATGCCCACACAGTCACCGTGGAACCAATTATTGCATAAATCACATCCCACGTAAAACCTTTAAGGAAAGATCAGTATTTGTACAACTTTACCAATAGCTTATAATTGGCATTAAAGTTTCGTTTTAAATTTGAATATAATATAATTAACTAAAAAATATCTTACTGCCACTATGATTCACTACGACTGCTGACAGTGAGGTTATCGCGTAAATAAGACAAAAATATCGCAATATCGTGTTTTCCAGTTAAAATAAAACGCGATACTTGAAACGTAACTAAGAAAAAATATATTTGATAAAAATTGAATAAGGTCTCATACGGTCTTACTTTGTCTCGTCGTAAGGAGTTCTGCATAAACAATATAGTTTCTCTTTCTTGATGCGAGACGCGGCCGACGAACCTCCAGGAGGCGTTGTACTGTTACTCTGACCCTTATGCTTTTTCGGTCTGCTACTACCACTTCGACTGGATGGGCTAACTTGCTGAGCCACTTGAGCATTTGCCTTTCGCTTCGCACTGCCAACCTTTACTTCGTCCTGTTTGTGCCTCTCTGCTTTCGTTCTGGTCGCGAGTTCCGCTGAAAGGTCCTTCTGCAAAGATATTTATTGAGAATATTTTACGAAAATCCCGAGTTATAATCCGAACGTACGATGTATTTCAAGATCTCATCTTCAAATCATCTTAGATAAAATTGCGATTCTATGTTATCTCGTTATGAAATGTTTATTCTTTTCTGTTTTTTTTTTAAATATTTAAGGTCAAGGCTCTCGAATTCAAGATGATTTGGTAATGTGAAATACTTTCTCTTATTTCTTTTAAACCATTTAGTGTCCACAGTATCGAGCTAAGCCATACTTCAGTTAATATTTCGGTATTGCATGATTCGGCTTGCAACGTCCTAAAAAGGCCTGTTATACAATACATCCTTTGTCGCTGTCGAATATCCCAACATGCGACAGCGACGTATTGTATAAGGCCCGGTCTACAATGAGGCATTCATCGTTAGTCAAAAGCCGGAACTGTATGTTGATCCTTTTCCTTTCTGGGTAGAAGAAAAAGGATCGACATATAGTTCTGACTTTTGACTAACGACTCATTGTAGACCGGGCCTATGGTCTAAAGGCTATTACAAAATGAAGCTACAGATCTCACTGGATGTTGTAAGTCAAATCACAAACCGAACAAATATTTCTGTCCATCATAGAAATAAAATATGACTTACTCGAAGTTAAATTCGACAATGTGGACCTAGGCCATTATTATATTACATAAAGATACATAACGTAAGATATTTATTCATTTACTATATTATACATGTGATTAACATTACCTGTATATCGATCTGAAGCTCTTTCTCAAGTAAAGCTCTCTTTTTAAGAATGTCTTTTTTAAGAAGTTCTTTATGCCGGAACAATAAAACCTGCATTCGGGAATGCACTTGCAGTTTTCTCCGCTGCTCTTGGCTGTCTTTCAATTTTGCGGCTCGGTTTTTAGGTGACGAATCATTATCTAATGCCTCCGATAGTTTCGGCATTCTAGAAGTTTTAAAATTATGTACACATATGTGGCATAGTTTTAATGCCGTATTGTTAAGACGTATCACTGAAATAACTCATTATTAACTTTTTATTACTATGATGTAACCGTTATAAACATATTATTTTATTATTGTCAGAATATACATAGTTTGTCTTGACAGTTGTCAATTTGTTTAAAGATAATTTGGTTAGAGAATACAATTGAAGTTATTGCAGCGATAAAAAGTTTGTTCATATATTATTCCAAACAATCCGTCTAATTTCTTACATAGGTAATACAATTTTTCAAAATGTTGCAAATTGGTGTTTTTTTTTAAAGAAAGAGATGTCTGGCAAAAATGGAGACAATGAAATAAGAATTATAAAGATATGAACGAAAGTGTTAAAAATTAATAAAAGTATGGTAATAACGCTCGATCTTGACATTTTCGCAGTAAAAAGCTGAATATAGAAGAGACGAACTACGGTTAAAGTGATATATTAAGTTTGAGATATATTGTATGATAGCGAGTTTAATATATATACTTATAACTCTGATTTTCAAAATCCTATTCTCTCTCCAAATTTTTGTGATTCAAATTGAATTCGACTGCGATCCAAACAACAATAAAGAGGAATTGAACGAAAAAATTTGTTTATAGGTTTATTCCAACAATATTAAACATAAAAATTTAACAAAGTAGAAAAGTAAAATAAGGGCTATTTTGTTTGAAGGTGTTTTCAATTACATTTCGAATTCAACAAACTTTCTACATACAAATTGAAATATATTATGTTATGGATAACATAATATATGAATACTTGAATTTTATTTCGAAAATATGAAAATGTTATTTTTTTCATGTTTAAAAATATAATTTACATACATATTTTAATGTAGTATTTACTATTTTATACATTATTCCTGATTATAATATTGTATTGTACAATTTCATATATAATATAAATGGTCATGATTATAAAAGTAAAAAGTTTTAAAAATAAAAAAGACTAACAAAACAAAAGCTTAACAATCCAAAAGTGAATTGATTGCTTGTGCGCAGCACTGACAAGTAAACCCACCAAAGTGGGGACACACCGATTTTGACGAGTGTTGAATATATTGTTTTTTAGCTCAAAATAAGAGACACGTATTTTTTTATACGTGCTCACACGCACTTTGAGGTAGTGAAATACCCCTTTGAAGAAAATTTGATTTTCTCTTTCGGGGCGAATATTGACAAAAGTGTAAGAGCTAGAAAAAATTTTTTAAATGAATATTGAATGGTTTCAAAAGTACTTTAAAACTGTGAGCAAAAAAGGTCTTAAATTTGTTCTTTGTCAAAATACTCTCACCACTCAACATTTTTTATTACAATTTTGAATATTTTTTAGCAAATGTACCACCAAATTAAAACTTATTTTATTACGGTTCAGCCGTATATAATAAAGTTCAAAATGTAATAAAAAATGTTGAGTGGTGGGGGTATTTTAAGAAAGAAAAAATTAAAAACCCTTTGCTCATAGTTTTAAAGTACTATTAAAACTATTCCATTTTCATTAAAAAAAATTTTTTAGCTCTTACACTTTTGTCAATATTTGCCCCAAAAGAGAAAATCAAATTTTTTTCAAAGGAGTATTTCACCACCTAAAAGTATGGGCACGTATAAAAAAAATACGTGATCCTTATTTTGGGCTGAAAAACAACATATTCAACACTCATCAAAATCGGTATGTCCCCATTTGGGTAGGACTTGTACGTCCATACTAGGGCTTGTAAATTGTGTCAATAATTTAAGAGATATTTAAGACGATCCTTAAATATATAAGAATTGACTGTAAAGTCTTTGTGTGCACTTGGGCACACAAGAGCACACTAGAGCAAGCAATCGAATTCGCTATCAGTAACTATGATTACAGCGTCAGATTTAAAAATGAAAGTTAAGAAAATAGACTCAAACGAGAAATGAGCAGCCAACCTCAATACAGTAGCACAACTTTTATTTGAGAGATGGAAAAAGAGAAAAATAGATAGAGATAGCTTTAGATAAAAAGAATAGAAAAGGAGAATAAAGATCATAATAAGGGAGTATATGGGTACGGTATTATTTAAGCATTTCCAGGTTCAACAACGATTCCAACTTGTTTTGATATGGTTAAGTTCATTGTATCTCAAATGTTTGTAATTTGTCGGTATAATTATACATCCTCAATAATCACTTTGAAAAGATGATCAAGATAGAAAAAAATGAGTTGCGCTACTGCATTATATAGCATGTTAACGGTTAATGGAGCAAGGAACATGATCATGCTATTTGATTTGTAAGTTGAGCAGCTTACTTTGGGGTAGTTTCGCGATTGTCTTGCTTTATTGCAGGTCTTTTCCTGGGTGTCTCCACCCAGTCTTTGTCATCTTTGTTGTCAACCCCGCTAGACGACGATTGCGCGTTTGTTGGCGTCGTCGTTGCTGTTGCTGCTGGAATGTTTGACGACGGCGCCGGCCGTTTGCGCGACGGCGGCCGCGGCGTGGTTGCCGCGGGCGAATTATGAGTCTGATTGCTAGTCACCGAATTCTCTACGCCACCCTTCATTTGCTTTTCCTGGTAACGTTGCAGCTGTAACAATTTCTCTTCTATCTCCGGATTCAGATTCTCTTGTTTCAAAGCATTTTTGATTGCTAAAATCAGAAATAAACAAGAGCATTTAGAACGAGAAAATATTTTAGAAATGTTTCCTAAATAAAGAGTTCTTGTAGAAATTTTTGTTACAAAAATTTATACAAAAATCTTAAAAAATTTCTGTTAATTTCCCTATTTAAGAACATTAATATTTTTTTAATAACATTAATATTTCTCTACTTAAGAGCATTAATATTTTTTGTATGAAAAATATTTGGGAAAATTCACTTATGTAAAAAAATATACTTTTTATAAAATCTTTTGTGATGTACAAACATGTTCTTCAAATTGTATAAAAGCACAATTTATGTGTGTTCTGATTTTCTTGCATACTAACTTTGTTGAATGTAATCTGGGGTCAGTATAAATTTATTCGGCGACGAGTCGTTTCCTTCTTTCGTCGATTGTGACGACGGTTGCTGGCCATTAGCTATATTAGCCTTCTGCGTGTCGTCCTCTGTCGTGTTTGCCACGCGTCCCACTTGCTGAACGACCACTTTCGGTTTGTCCGTCGATTTCGGTGTTGTTTGCGGAGTTTTTGGAATGGTTTCGGTGGTGCTTTGCGATTCTAATAATAACATGGAGAGACATGCATTGCAAAATATTAGTAATTATTTTCAAAAGTGTTGTATCCTTTTACAAAAACATTTACAACCAAATACTCGTTTGTCATTTCACATGCTTTGAAACAGTAATAAAAAATGGAAAATTTACGTACCATTGATAGACGATGGGGAAGTTGTAGACTGTTGCTGTTTTGGAGTTGATGATGTTGAAGTATTTGTAAGCGAAGTCTGCAAATTTTGCGATTGCTTTTGCTGATTGTTGGACGATTGGGCTGGTTGAACAGCCAGGTAAATCTTTGTCGGTCCCAAAACACCTTGCTTGCCACCCGATGCATGTGCTGAAATTGATTAAAAATGTGTTTGTTAATTTAACTTAGTACATTGTTGATAGTTTTGTTTTACGTAAAAACTAATGATCGTGATCAACTATTTTTCATACATCAAAATTTTGGAAATAATGTTTACAATGTACAAAAGATCGAAAAAACAATTAAACTTAAAATGAATGACAATTTAAACCCTCCGTGTCTCTCTACACACGAATAAACCTGTCATTGGTTCATAACACAGGGAGGAAGACAACCGGAGTTCATCCGGCTAATAATGCGTCAATATCCAAACGTGACCTTATCAATAGGTCGCATTTTTAAAGCGCCTTAAATGCCAACCTTTCAGAAGCTGCTGCTTGACTTGTTGCTGCACCATATTTAATTGCTGCGGTGTAAAATCCGAGCCTTGCAAGCCCTGCAGCACAATCCGCGGGCCCTCGGCTGTACTAATGACTTGTGCTGTCACACACTTGATCACCGTGCCAGGTGGTTGTCCTGCCAATAAAGTAGCCTCGACAGTCTCAGAAATTGGAGTCGAGACGGAACTCTGAGTCGTCGTCACCGACGCGGTGGAAACTGCGGTGGTCGTAGTCGTGCTCGTGTTTGTAGTCACAGCTGATTGCGTAACCGTTGAAGCTTGCGTGGTTTGCAGAGCTAAAAGTGTACGTCCATTCTCAGTACATATATAATATTCGAGGTATAAAAGCGAGAGGTCAAAATACAAATTCTTTGAATTTAATTGAACTTTTCGTTAAAAAGTGTGTAAATGATTAACTAGAGTTTAGATTAATTAGAGACTAGCCTTGTTGTTTATTGGCAGCAACAGTGCCTTTCACGATAAATCCGCCATTAGCCGAGTTCACGTGCATAATTTGATTGGACGTGTTGCGTATTACAACTTGATTGCCGATCGCGGTCAACTGGGCCTTGCCTGACGCCAATTGCTGGACCAGGTTTGCGTTCGTGACCATTATCGGATTACCGCTTATTACTTGTCCACCGGAGGATATTACCTGCAATATTTTTATACAACATATAAATATAAATAATGCAGACGTTATGTGCGTATATTTATTACAATTAAAATTCGCGAGTCTGGTATTTATTTTTTCAATGTGTTCTCAATTAAATCCTTTTCAGTTTTTTGGAATTTATAAAAAAACTAAATGATACTCTATTGAATTTATAATAGTTTACTAAAATTTCATGATTTGATTCAAATTTACCTGCGCGGCTTGTCCTGCGTTGGTGACTACAATAGTGTTCTTTGTTGTTTGAGCCACTGTAGCGGGTGCCAGAGTCACGGTTGCGGCTTTCACACGTTGAACCGTTTGTACAACCTGAGCTTGCTGCGGCGTTTGCGCTTGTTGCACCGCCAAATTCGGCGTTGCCTTTGCACTCGGACTGGTCTTAGTCGCAGTTGTATTTTCCGTCGCCGTTTTATTGCTAACGACAGTCATAGTCTTCGCCTAAAATATATCAATTATAATAAATCAAATTGCCACATAAACATTTGCGCTCATATTGATTGTGATTTGTTACAGTTTTCTATAAATAAGTTTATTATTCTTTATTTTATTCCTCAATATCAATTTGTTTCTATGATCTTATCAATGACATTTATCGATGACATTTTATCTTTATATGCGCTCTTCTATAAATTAGAACAATGGAATGTGTGAAAAATGTGTTTTTTCAATAAATTACTTGTGGAGTAGTTGTAGATGTTGTCGAATTTGTTTGAGCGCCTTGTGCAACGGTAGTGGCCACAGTTTGGCTTACATTCAGCACATGCAGCTTCCCGTCCGGCATCTGAACCAACTGCTGGCCCGGCAACAAGCCGCGCACTTGCAACTTTCCGTCTGGTCCTCTGAGAATTTGCACTCTTTGCTGCACTTGCACCGGTGAACTAGTAGTGGCTAAAAAATATCCGATTAAAACAATTGAGATAAACATTTCTAGAAAGAGGATTCGTATATTGTGTATCAATCTTTTGAAAATGAGAAAAAGATTTTCTTCCTCAACGTTAATATCACTTTAAATAATAAGGAAACTTACTCGTTGGTGTCACCCTGATCAAGGATTGCTGATTTAGTCCTTGGGCTTGCGGCGTTTTTGGTAAAATACTGGTAGGACCGGACACAACTTTGGTGGTTCCATCAGCAGCTAAAACGGAGCAATACGTCAGTTTATACAAAATCAACTTCGTCGTATGATCTTCGCGCTCGAATATGAGAGTAAATGGCTTACACTTGGTCATATAAATACGCCGTGTACCAATAAACGTTTTGTTTTGCGTAGGAGTCGTCAGGAGAGAAGTCAACTGCGACTTCGTGCTATTCGGGTTCGCTGGAATCGCGACTTTCGAGACCAATTTAACTGTGCCGTCTGCAAACAACATTTAATGTAACTTTCGTTCCAGTTTACGTTAATTGTTTTAACAAACAAGATGAAATATATACACATATATCTTACTGTGTGCCTTTTTCTTACAGTTTTGTCGCGTGTAATTTCGTTTTACATAGCTTACCGTGAGAGGAGTTGGCTGTGACTTTGACGAGTTGGGTGGCGGGCGATGTCGAGTTTGTGGATTGATTTTTGAAAGTCTCCAGAGCACGCTTTTGCTGATGAGCCGCCCGCTGTAGACGCAACTGCTGTTCCATCTTCTCCTTGATCTCCTCCGGCGTCGCTTTACCACTCACAAGCTGGTCGCCAGTCAGACCGGTCGTGCCACCCACCGAAGCAGCGGTGGCGGCGGTTTTATTACCGCCGCTGACGACCACCGACTGCGGTGCTCCTGAGCGACTCCTAGTAATAATCTGCGCATTAGCCTTCTCTAACCTGGAGACAGGACAGACACACCAAGCGGAGGGTTAGTTCCCAGTGGAAGAAAAGCAAGCGGTTAAAGGTTCAGCAGTCAGATCCACGCTTAGGATGTTCATCCTCGGCGCAGATTACGAAAGCGTAAACAGAAACACGTTTCGCATGATGACGCAACTCGTTCTCGAATCGAGAGAGATTTCTTTCACTCATTTCCAATAGAGAGCGAAATATGCATTCCCAATTTTCTAAAACTTGCAATGAACTCGGAGAAACATTTGCTCATACTGTTAAAAAAATATCTGGGGTAAATTCTCCGAGATTTTAACTCTATCTCTCTTCTTTGTAATAATAAACTTTTAATTTCCCAACTTAATAAAATCTTCTTGAAGTATTACCTACAAGGAAAGAACTTATACTAAACGTTAACATTATTTCGATGACGTTAGTTCGACGTTTTTACACCAAGAGCATTACAAAAATCGTTATTTAACATTCTTCGACTAAAACTTGAGCAAACTCGATCAATAACACAGCAATTGTAAGATAAGAAGAATGTTTCGAAGAGAATTTCACAAACGTTAGACACATGAGATAACATGCAAGTACTTTGTTGCCAGACAAAACACATCACATCAATCGTTGCGGATCTGTACCTGTCGCCGTATTGTTTGATCTCCCACAGCTCCAACTTGTCTTCATCGACCCATTCTTCAGTGACTTGTGGTTCGGTGCTCTGCGGAGATTCCGGACGCTTCCTTTTTCTCAGGCCGCTCCTTATGGACGTTACCTCTGTAAAATTTGTGTAACGTGAGTGATTTTAGAAGAAGTCACGTTATACCTTAATACTCAGACGCCCGCCTAGCGAGAGAGAGAGAGAGAGAGAGAGAGAGGTCCAGTTCAAACCCTGGCTGAAGTAATATTTTTCGCAATGAATTTCTTTAATTAGAATTTGCCAGTCGTGTCGATCATTTGTTTCCTACATTAGTTCACATATTATCTTCTATACAAACCTCTGACTTGTTTCGGAAGTTCGAGCGGTATAACGACCTTCCTACGCAGATACTGAGTCCTGTCGAGAAACTGCCCGACGTGCCGATGCTTCAGTATCTCCAACGACATGATCTCCGTATCGGTGGTCATCTGATTCTTGCCGTCGGTGGACACCGGCTTGGCCGACATGTCATCCCATCTGAGACAGGCCCAGAGTATCCTCAGCTGAATCGCGGCAGCGGCCAGCGATTTGAGGCCAACCGTTCTGTACAACCAGCAAGTCTTGAACAGAGGTCTGGAGCAAGGATACGGCCACACCGACATGTTTGCCTTGGCTTGATGATGGAACCCTTGCACGGGTATCTTACCACCGACGCGGGATAATTTCCTCAATTCGTGCTGAGGCAGTATTAGAATACTACGCTGCTTGTTCTTCGTGCAGAAGGTCGAGCAGAGCGGATACTTGACCGGCGTGCGTTTCTTCTTACGATCAGCCATCGTGAACGCCACCTTCTTCAAATAAATCTTACCCTCCGTCGCCGTCGTCGTGTATATCCGCTCGGTCCCATCGGCGTGCAGCTCTTTGACGAATGTACTCCGCTGCACTGTCCTGCCTCTACGGTTCACGATCATCACAGTCTTCGCGCTGTTCTTATTCGTCGTCGTGGTCGTGGTTTCCGAAGAGACGGTCGTCGAATTGCGATTAACGGCAGAATGCTCCTGCTTTACGCCACCCGCGTTCTTCACCGTCTGCTGAGTCGTCGTCGTGATCGTTGTGGTGGTTGTAACGACGTTACTCGTTGTGACGGTAGTCACGCTGGTATTCTCCGTATGCTCGTTCTCGAGCTTGATCTTCTTCGGAGAGGAAACGGCGTTCTTTGTCTTCGCCGTCGCTGCTTCCTCGTTGCAGTGAGTTGCCGTCGCCACCGCCGATTCCAAGTCCCGCCTGATCGCGTCCTTCGAATCGTCCAGGGTTTCCGTTTTCACGGAAGTCACTGCGGCCTGTAGCGAGGACTGATTGTTGTTGAGAGCGTTTGCCTTGCGTATCAGCGAGATCAGTTCGCGCTTCAGCCGCGTCTTTCGCATGCACATAGGCGAGTAACAGGTGTCGACGAAATTCGGAGTGACTGTCTGCGCGGTGTTAATTTGCACGGCGTTGTTCTTGCCGACGCTATTCATGTTACAGTAGCGCGAGTAACAGCCACCGTTCTTGCATAGCTTCATGGTAGCCATGTATTGCGAGCGCACCTGCTGGATGCGCTTGCTAATCGCCGTCAGCATTTCTTTCCCGGGCGCAGAGGTGGCCGTTGTCGTCGTTTTGCTTTCTTGCTGTTGTTGCTTGCCGGCAGGCGACGACAAAAGACCTTGCAGAGAGCCGTCTCCGCCACCGCCAACGGCGTCTGTATCGTTTTCTTCGTGATTCTCCATATCAACCTCCGAGGAGTCGCCGTCCCCACCTTTCTGATTTGGCGTCTGACTCGCTTCTTTCGTCTTTACCTGCAACACATTGAATTTACAAATTATAAAGATTCAAGATATATTATGACACATAGTTTATAATATTAATATTTTGTTGTTGGAATAATAGATTTGTGCATAAAACGATTCCCCAACGATGTAACTGCATATATTATTTAATAAAGACATGTACTTACAGATTGCAATAACTTTCTTTCTTCCAAAAACTTCAAATGCGATCTGCGAGTCAGGAAATCGTCGATCCTCGTCTTTTTCGCCACTTTTGGATAATGCAGTCTTCCAGGACTGGTTAGTGCCTTGTTGATGTCAATCTCTTCAAACTCGGTAATCGGAGTAAAAACCTTTTCGATTTTCATACCGGCTAAAACTGAAAGATTTTCCATTTAGTATTTTGTTACGAATGAAGTTACATTTTACAAGTTACATTTTAAAATATTTTCTAAATTATCTTTAATTATTAACTTGAAAAATCTTTTTATATTCGATTAAAATTCAATTTTGCGAGCGCGTTACATACATGACAGATTCATCTTTTTTTCTTGTTTAACAGATTGGGGTTCCAATTTTACTGATGGAGAGGGATTAACACCGTTCGTCTCGCCGTCGGTCGTAGGTTCCTTCTTTATAGTTTCCGTATTACGTTCCTGTTTTATCGCATCACCTTCTACACCTTCTTCTTTGATTTCTTGTTTCACAATACCGTTCTCCGTCTTACTCGGGCAGTATTCTTTGATGAGGAATTCATAAGTGGGCGGATCGAGCGCGAGTACTTTCTGGCCACTTTGATCCTTGATCTGTACCATAATTTTCTGCGGACCAGCGCGTAAGCCCATCTTCGTCATGTCCGAGAACCGATGACGGCGTCGAGCCGATATCCAGAGCCAACCGCCCTGGCCGTGCACCCGGTACTCCTCGCCCTTCTGCTTCCACACCTGATGCTTGAGGCCGAGCGTGTACTTGACAAAGTTGAAGAGCCGATTACGCTCCTCCTCGTCCTCTTTCTCCTTCTTTTCCTTCTTATCCTGGCGTTTTTTCTCCTCGCGCTCGAGCGCGGTCACCCGTTGCAGTTTTACATGACCGAGCTGGTCGTGCCACACACTCGCAAACACAACGGATTTGATGCACGCCTGCAGAACAATAAGAGTGCGCGCAAAGTCTCGCGGATTCACACACGCTCCCACCGCCGCGGTCCATGGTTTTCGCAGTAGCGGCCAATTGGTGTGCATGTACGACGCCTGAATATTGCTTTCGAGCTGCAGAATCGTTTGGCGTAGGGTACTGACTAACAGGGCACGGGTGCCCGTCAGAGTGCCCACCCACTTGAACTCCGATGCTTGCGTGAGCGAGAACTTGTGCGACAAGTGACGCTTCTTATCGCGTTCCTCGTTCCTCTGGGTCTTATTTAGCGCGATGGTGTTGGTGGTGTACTGATTGACATACGATTTGAAGTTATTGTCCATGCCCAATTTGAATAAGTGCGTGCCAGATGCAATTTGATGTGCCTTCTGACGTGTCACTCTAGTATTGCCGTCACTTTCGGAATCCTTTAGACTCTTGTCTAGCTTCTCTTGCTCCTCCTTTGACAACGGCGCCATGCTTCGTCTCTTTATGTCGTCCATGTTAAAAGTTCGTGGTTGTAACGATCCAGTCTTCGATCTTGTCACGATAGTATGCTTTTTGCCTGGAAAAGAAACATTGGTGTAATAAAATGCTATGAATATATGTAGACAGGTTCAATTGTTCCATGGGAACCTGCTGTTTCAGAAAGTTTCTTTTAAATATGGAAAAAGCAAAACAGCAATCAACAAAATTCAATGTTACTAGATTATCGTAAAGTCTCACCGTCTTTTCCCATTTTCTCCTCTCCTTCTAACGTCTCTTCATCAATATCTTCCGACGATGACGTAGAGGCGCTAGTTTTCGCGGTTTTGTCCGTATTCGCTGCGGTCGACGACGCTTCGGCGTCGACCTCGACAGTCTCGCCGACCACCTCAGGTACTTGTGTAGCTGGAGTCGACTCATTACTGGATCCCTTTGTTTCACCCTGTTCCGTCATTGCCGTACGCTCATCGAGAGAATCTGTGTTCTCGTGCATCTTGCGTATCATTTCCTCTGCTTCCTGCCTCTGCTTTTCTTTCTTTTCCTCCTCCTCTTTCTCCTGTTTCTCTTGCCGTTCTTTTTGTATCTTTTGTATAAGATCTACAATTTCAAAAGGCAATAATTTTTTAAAACATTTAATACACACACGTAAAACTTTGATATTCGATATGTCGACTGGGAGATTAAAAAATGATATTAAAGCAAATTGATCTTACTGTTTTCTACTTCCAGATACGATTTCTTGTTTCCTTTGAACTGATTGGTGATGGTCTCTGTGAGTTCCATTTGACGGATTATTTCCTCCTTGTAATCCGACAACTCGCGGCAAAGCGCTACTTCCATTTCATTTTGATCTAACACATGCATCAGCTCGTCTAATTGCAAAGGCGAGCTGTAATACCACACCTCGCCGTCTTCGCTCTCACTAGAAAATAAAATCACAATAAAGATAAAACTGAAAAATTATATACGCACATACGTGAAAATAGAATCTTGTTTAGTCTCTTGCACTCCAAACTTCTTATTGGAGATACAATCTCGTAAAGTGAAAGAAACATTCTTGCTTTAATGTTTGTTACATAAATGCAAGAGACAGTTAATTGGAACTTGGTAAAATCTCAATCGGACATGCAGATACATTAGGATCAAATCTCTTACACAAAAACTCTTCTTGCGAGAAACCAATATTTTCTGCCGTGTCTGTCGAATCCTAAATGCTCTTGTCTACATAATGATCCGTTCTTCTCAACGTCGGGAATGCAATCCACGACACCCATCACTTTGTGGGCTTTACATGTACTACACTGCCAATCCTCGGTAGGAACATCGACCAGAGGCGGTTCTACACATTCTAAATGAAATACAGCTGGGCAAGTCTCGCAACACAATAGATCTCCTAGCCGATGACAAACTCTGCAGTGATCATCGTAGTGCATGGCTCCTGTAAAGCATAGACATTGTCCATTCCATATTCTCTCTTGATAAAATGTGACTTTTTGCCAACATAAGGTTTTAACTTAAACAATTAACTAGCTTCAAAGTCATACGAGCAAAAAGGTCAATTTATTTACACAAATGCAAAGTAATGAAGGAAAGGAGCCTCGGTGGTCGAATTGGTGAGACACGTCCGCCTAGTCTTCCTCCGAAAAGTCCAGGTTTAAACCCTGGCTGAGGTATAATTTTTCACAATAGACTTTAAACTAAAATTATTTAGATGCTAACATCTTGTCTTATTCCTCTATTACTTTGTATTTGTGTTTTCACATCGAAGCCTTGTGAATTTTCTCAATTGTTTAAATTTATTTAAATCGTAAAATTTTATGTAAAGAAACTGTTATAAAATGTAAAGTTGCACACACATAAATAATGTTTCTAATGTTCCTATAACAAGGTTTCTATTCTAATTACAAATGTGTAATTCTACATAATTTATGTAAAACGCAGACTCATAATATTTGAAAAGTAATTTAGAAAGTAGACTAGGAAATAGTTTAATTTGCATAAAAATAAATGTCTGTAAAACGGAGCAGTTAAATCGTTTGCGAATGACAATGTATGAATTCAAATCATATCAAATAAATCAGAATTGTACCTTGGTGGATATTGAAAGATGTCAGTAGACATGTCTTTTAAGTCTTTCGCGTTTAGTTTCATATTAAAATTGAATAATTGATTAAAGTTCCTGTCTCTACAATAAGTGATGTATCAGCGTGGACACGGTAAAGTTTTTTCCCCGCTAATTTTCAACAATCATGCAGTACGTCAGACGTGCAGTACACAAAAAGGCTTCAGCGCATAAAATGTTACATATTTATGTAACGTTGTCGTACCTTCATGCAGCAGATCCTCTCTCACAGGGTTTGTGATTAAAAATTGATCTGTTAAAAACTGTAAGACCTTGATTCTATCCTCGATGGCAGTAAAAGGATATTCAGTATTGGTTAATATCTGTAAAATGTTCTGATCGAAACTCTTGTCGCTCTCCACGTACGAGCGCAGCGTCTCTGGCCACGACATAGAGTCCACGAAATACAGGCTAACGTTCACCGAATCCTTCTGGTCCAGCGGGCCGAAGTGCGTCTGCTGCGAGTCCTCCTCCCGCAGCAGCGCCTTGATCAGCATGATGTGAATCTCGGCGAGCAGATTGGTTTGATCCTCGCACACGAGGGCGGCGCAGAAGTCCTCGAATCTGAAGCTGGAGAGGCGCACCAGGGTGCGAAAGTGCCTGAGGACCTCGTAGACTGAGAGCGACGGCATGACCAGTTCCTTGGGGACCAACAAATCGTCCGAGGACTTGGGCAACACTAACGGGGGCAGCTCCCGGTTCTGCAGCCACAACGGCTCCGGGCTGGGTGGGCGCTGTTGAGCGAGCAGCGTTTTCCTGGGCGTGCCACTGGTAGTGCTGTAACTGGACAGCGAGAAGTCACTGTCGCTCGAGGGGTCGGGCTCCTCTATGCTCTCGGAGGTGTCCACGTCGCTCGGCATCGGCTCCTCCTCCGGCTCGCTCTTCTCGCTCGACTCGTCGCCGAAATCCGAGCCGTAGTGATACTCGGAGTCGTGATAATCGACGTTGGGGTTGTAGCCGCGACGCTGGTACGCACCACCTGTGGCTCCGGCGTGGCCGCCCTTGCGCGAGTGCCGGTCGCGGGCGCTCCGCGGCTTACGCTGATTCCTCGTGCTGCGCTTGCTGCTCTCCTCGCTCTCCACAGAGGGTGACGTCGGCCGCGAAACCGTTGGCGTGCTCGGCTGCGAGCCCGGTGTCTCGCCGCCGCCGCCGAGCGCGCCGCTCGCCATCCTGTTCTGCAGGTACTTGGGCTTCTTCATCAGGTGATACTGGAACTTCTTCGGTCGCTCCATCACCACGGACTTGGGCGGGCGCCCCCGCCTCTTCGAGCCCCTGCCCGTCATTATTGTCGTGTACCGCCGTGGTCCTTACGCTCGACGTCGTCGTCGTCGTCGTCGTCGCCGCCGGCACCGGCGCCGTCAACCTCGTTTCGGAGTGCGGGCCCCCGCGCGGGGGGACTGGCGACGGGACCTACCTGCCTGTTCTGGCCTTCCCTCCTGCCGCTCACCTCGCCCGCCACCTCCTCACGTCTCTCTCTCTCGCCGCGCCGCTCCTCTCCTCTCCTCTCCCGGTTCCTCGCCTCCTCACTCAGCACGTGGCGCGCGTGCTCGCACGCTTGTAAACAAACACGAGTGACATCGCCGCGGCAACGAGCTGGATCCGTCCATGATGTCCGATGCACTCTGATCTTTGCGCCATTTCTCACGGCCCACGGTCGGTTTCGCGCGGTCACGTGATCAAACACAATCGCCGCCGCGACGCGATGCCCCAGCGGCGTGCACGTACGCCGCGCGTCACTCCCGTACGCGCGCGTGCCGTTCCTCGCTTCCGGGCGCGTCGTGCGTACCGCGAAAAAAAGCACTCGCCAAATTCGAGATAGCGAAATCGGCGACGCGAATTACGCCAGAAGGGGGCCTCTAGCTGCGCGCGATGGTGGCAGTAGTGGTGGTAGTAGCGGCGGCGACGGTGGTGGTAGCAGTGTCGGCAGCGGCGGCGGCATCGAATGGAGTCGTTGCCGTCCCTGAATGGCGGAGCGGCAAGAGAGAGCGGCGCTGCGATTGGCTCACCGGCGCGCCGCCATGTCGGCCGTTCGGGGCTCGGCTACGGCGGAAAGGACGGCCGGGCGGCCGTCACGGCCGGTTTCCGCTCGACGCCGCGGGCTCCGCGAGCCCCGGCGACGCTCCCGGGCACGTCGGCGACGCTAACGGTGGCCGCGCGTCCCGCGATCGCACTTGCACGCGCGTCTCGGCCGAGACGCTCGCGCGCTCCAATCGCCTACGCCGTATCTTCCTGCCGCTGGGCTGCTGTCAGATCGACGTACGCGGGCAGATGGCGGCACGCGCGCGTTCGAAATAAAAAAAACGCAATTCTAACCGCAATCCCGCGCGGCGCGGGGCAACGCGCGCGGACTCGCGAGCGCGGGGAGAATCGTGCGCGACGGGAGAAACGTCGGCGACGCGCGGACGGCGAGAGCACGATCCGCGCGGAGTCTGTCTCGTGCGTACGCCTACCCGCGATCACCTCGGTGGACACGAGCCCGGATCTCGAATGCGCGTTACGCGACGACTCGTTGCCAGAGGACACTACCGACGCCGCGGCGCCGCCATCTTGCCACGGTTCTTGATCGATAACTCGCGTCCCGCGGAGAAGCGCGATCCCCCCGCGGTCGATCCCGCGCGCGACGTCGCGATGCCGAGATTGCGTTGCGAGATCGCGCGTGCTTCTTGCTTCCCGTCTATCCACTTTTTACCTCGTTCGCGAAGCCGTTACGCGCGAACTTGCGGGCTCGCCGATCGCTCTCGTCGCGCCATCTGCCGCCGCCGAGGTCGGAGCTCCTCGCGCGACAAACTCGGTCCGGTGGGTCGAAAGAGGAACGAGAGAAACTAGTCGTAAAACCGAACGCCGGAGTTTTAGGAACGACTGGAACGACGGGCGAGGTGCCGGGAGCTCGCCGTGCGAATCCCGGAATCTCGGCGTCGTTACCGACGTTACCGACGGAAGCGCGGCGGCCGCGAGCGCGAAGACGCGAGGGGGCGCGCGCTCTCGCGCGCGCCCCGCGCACCTTTCTCGACTTCCGTTCCGTGCGCGCCGATTGTTTTCGCCGTGGGGACGCGTGGCCACCACGCGACGACGATGGAGGCGACGTCGACGGGGATGTACTCGCTGCGACCGGTGGTCGTCCTGCCCAGCGGCAAGTGTCATTCGCGCCCGGTGTCCATGTACGAGCTGCGAAACATCCACTACGCCCCCGCTGCCGCCGCCGCCGCCGACACCGCCGACACCACCACCGACGACGACGCGCCCGACGACATTGCCACGCAGGTTAACCGCCTTCTGCAGGTTTCCGCCTTGTTTTCGTTTCGTCTCCGTCTTCGTTTCCGCTCGGCCGGTCTCCTCGCGGTCGACGTACCGTCCGTGCCTGCGCGCGCGCGCGCGCGGCCGCCGCCGCCGCCGCAGCGAGCGTGCTGGACATGATGACTCCTCCCGAAAATTTCCGCGGGCGCACTGATCCGCGATCGACCGGGGGAGCGGAGCGGCGACGTGCGGTTCTTCTATCTCTCTCTCTCTCTTTGTCTCTGTCTCGCTCCTCGCCTCGGGGGGGCTTGATCGATGCGTCCCTCCCCGCCGCGAGAGATCACCCTTTTCTTGCGGAAATGTCGGCGATTTCTCGCGGAAATTATTGGCACGGGGCGGCGAGGAAGACGCGCGGATTAAAATACGGCGTGCGTGCGCGAGACAAGCCCGCGGTCGGTGACCTCGCGGCTGTTCCACGCGCGCGACTGTCAAAAGCGCGAGGCTCTCGGGGCGAAACTTTCGGGGATCGGTCGCGTCCTTAGAAACTGGGTTAATTCGATGTGTCGTTAGCGTTGCGTCGAACCTGGCCGGAAACCCGTTCGCCCGAGTGAATCGTTATGTGTCGCTCGCCGGATATTTCGTACCGGCTCCGTGATTGCGTCAGCCGCTAAAAATTTCATCAGCCAACACAGGTAAAGGCTGGTCTACAATACATGGAGTAAGCTGGAGTAAGGAAATAAATCCATTTTACTTCTTACTCCTACTTCAGCTCTTAGGCTTACTCTCGGCGAATCAAAGTGCCGTCAATCAGTGTTGCAAATATTTTGAAAATTATGCCTATATTTCAGCTACCTTACACCAAAAGCTAGAAGTCAGGGCTGTCCCTTACTCCACGTATTGTAGACCAGCGCTAATAGCTCAGTGAATCGCTGAAAGTTTTATTCCCCTCGTTTGCGCATCTCGACGATTGTAGAGTGAAAAAGTATCTGTATTGTAACGTCACGCTGTGCAGGACTGTATCGTTCGCACATCCACACGCGTTGCTCCTGGTGGACTTTACATTTGTATTGTTATTGTTCGATACAAATATCATAGCGCGGATACGATACAAGTCCAATTTGCTACATGTTGCTTTATGTCTGTATGTCGTAACACATTTCTCAGATTCATTGCTACACGATATAAATTTACTTGGCGTTTATATTGTGTACGCCAGAGTCAAATGTTGGCTGGAGATCTTTATATGAGGCAAAGTAATATTCAATATACTTTTTTCTAGGCATCCCTGCCGGAGTACGGGGCGTTGGAAGCCAGGCAAGAGAAAATTCTTGGCCAACTGGCGGAACTCAAGAAGCAAGTCTCCAGACTGTGCCATTTCTTGAAACAGTCCAATCAGATGGAAGTTGCGAAAGATGTGGCGGTTCAGGTTAGCGATGTACTGATATATATTAAACGTAATTGCCTGCTAAGTACGTATGCATTGTATTTAATTAGTAAGTGCAATTAATGCATCAATTGCGCTACGATACAAGTGCACTTTCATTAAACTGTATCACAAGAGAGATTGTCAGACAACCGTCGTGTTTGCAGAAACCAGTGTCCATCAAACTAGTGATTAATGTAAATCCGAGGAAGCCGCCGTACTCAATACTAGCTTTACAGAAACTTTGGAAGGACACTAGCTTCAGAGTGATATCGTACCTTCATTCTACTACAAGTGGTCCAATACCCATTGTTTTCCCTCAAACTACTGGATGCACTGCAAATGTTCTAGAATTAACATTGATATGGAAAGATGGTGAGACATAATCTCGATAGGTCGTGAGAAAGTGTCGTTATATAACAATTCGTTACGAGGAAGTCATTCGCTAGTAATACATGTATCAAAACCTTTGGAAAGATCGGACGTTTTCTTACAATCAAACTTCTAATCACTTTCTCATCGTTCGTCAGCGAGCTTTTAACAGTTTTCATTCAAGTGTTCCATATTTAATTGAATTCTCTCCTTTCAGTCCCAAACCTACAAGTTATTACAACTTCTTGCCAAATAGGGGGCGAAGTCAATTTTCTTAGATATGTGAGCAGACTGATAGAATCGCATTGTTACGAGAGCACATGCTTGCAACCTCATACATTGGATTTCGCGCTCGACTACACTAATTTATTACACCACGAGCAACGTATAGAAAAGGGGTTGCGCGAACTAGCCGATAAATTTGAGGAATGGTCCTGCAAGGGTGGATTCAACATTGTAGACATTGCAGTGTGGTCTCTAATTAAACAGTACCCTGGAACAAAGGTACCACAGACCCTCCGCAAGTGGTACGACCTATGCGAAGAAGCTTTTACAGGGGAAACTTGATTCAATAATAAGTTACGAGAAATATAAATCGTTTCTCTCTTTCGGCAAAGAACTTTGATATGTTAATAAATGAACATGTATATATTGTTTTCTATTCATAAAATCATGCGTTATTGATTTATACACTACACATGTCCATCTGATATTATTAAATCCTATTACTTTTAGTAGGAGCATAAGGCCTTTCGAAATAAAGATTACTATGAGAAACATAGGGCCTAGAGATTGCAGCAGTCGCAAAATTTTTAAGGTGGATAGATGATTAGCCAATCGCACGGTTGTGCTCGTTAAACTCTTGTATCTATATAGAAGGAGTAAGATACTCTGCTAGCTACTTTTTCCCGAGATGGCGATCGAATAAAAACCATTTTCAATTGGTTTTTAACTCGAGTTTTACAGTTCAATAGACCAATGTATATAATGTTCTGCGCCATGATCGCTACGTCCATCTGATATAGGAATTCCTTATTTCGCTGGCAATATATGATGAATAAATTTTAATTAATAGTAACATAGAACAATATCTAAAGATTAATTACAAAAATTACTACTTTTTAATCATTCACAAATATATAGTAATTTCAAATTGATAAGCAATTTCGATAATTCGCCGTGTTATAGAACTTTTTTTTTCCAAAATGGCATAAATTTTTATTAAAAGATTAACAGATTTTCTCTCAGTGTCCTATACGATTAATATTACAGTTGATTTTTATCCTTTTACGTCGTTACAAATATACGCGCGTGGAAATATATAAATAAAATAAAATTTGCACTAAACGTTCACTGGCAGTGTCGCGGAAGCATTAAAGTGTTTCTATAGAAACATTTTTCTTCGAAAAGATTTTCGCTGCATCTCGCGACGTTTGTAGAACTCTGTTTTTCTTAAAAAAAAAGTATTCAAATTATATCTAAATACTTATAACAAGCCTAGCGCAAAATGAACGAGCTTATGAAATACGAATCGGTAATTCTTACTTGATAATTGCTAGTTAGATTAGGTTCTTCTCTATGCTGTCTTTTAGTCAAGTTTCATTATTCGCACATTTTACGATAAACTTGACAATCTTCGTAGTTCTGTTCGATATCTGACTTTGGACGTATATTAATAAAACGAATGTTCAAAAAGATATGAATACTGCATCTCAGTAACTAAGATATATCTATGTACAATAGAAGCTCCATATATATTTGCGTATTTCTTATTCACGGGCCTGAAATAATTCATTTATTGCAATAACAAGGATAAAATATTTCTTAATAGTTGCTAAAAGCAACTCTTATTATAAGCAGAATTATAGAAAAGATATCTATATTTTTATTTTTCATATACATACATGAAACATATGCACATATCTTTATATGAAAAGTAAGTTATGTTATGTATGTGTAAATATATAAATTATATATAAAATAATATATAAAATAAAAATTAATATTTTATATATATTATGTATTTTTATGTCAAATTTTACTCTTTCTATATTTTACTTTTCGGAATCGCCATTTCCATATCCAAGACGGTTCAGCAAAATGTAAGTCCCGCGAATATGGAGCTTTTACTGTATATCACAAAACGCGAATAGATATAGTCCGCTGAATACAATGTGTAGCAGCATTATACAAAATCTACATTCTTACGGGAAGTATATATATATATAACATATTTACATGCGTCTGACGCGGCGAAAGTACGCCAGCGTAAGAGCAGATTTATACAGTGTCCCACAACTCGCCGTCTTCATAATTAAAGTGGACTGATAAAATGATATGATAGGCCAACGATTGCAACGTTAAGTCCAAATTGACATTTTGCTTCCTGTGAAAGCTCTGCGATATTGAGTCCACAAGTCCACAAATGCGTTTACGATAAATATCTTCGAAAACTGACAAGGATTGAATTATGCGAGTAATCGCGTACTTGCAACCGTACCTGAGAAGTATAACGAAAATAAGACCAAAATATTCGTTGAAAAAAAGAATGATATTTGGACTTACGCTCCTCCGCTCCGCAGGCACGAAAATTTGTAAAACACTCGTACGAGATCCGTATGCTAGCTGTTTAAATTCTTAAACTAATCCGAGAAAGTACAAAAGTTTCTATTAAATGCAAAAATGTCTTATCGAAAATTATAAATAATATATATATATATATATATCAATATATCACAATACGAAGATGCCTCAAGCTTGCTATAAGTTTGCTATAAGTCTATGCCGTCAGCACGCACGAAACACACGTGTCTCTCCGACGTAAGTCTTTCGCTCTATATATGTATATGTATAAAAAAAGAGACCTTGCTCGAAGCGAAGTGGTTGCGGCAGTAATTTTGATATCGATATACGGATAAAACGAAAGTTTCTCTGTGTCTCCATGTAGTACTGGATAATTCGGTTAATTACACGAACGACGAGAAACCGGGTAGCGGCGCTCTCGATCTAGCCATGTTGTTCATGATAATCTGACCACCATTCAGACTGACGACCGCGCTACCTTCTGGCTCGGAGTCCGTGTACGACGAATAATTCCGGACGGGTTTCTGCCGTTTCCACGACTGCCTTAACGAGTCGTTCACGTTCGCGTAGTGATTCACGAAGGAATGTGGATCGGACTGCACACTCTCGTTCTCGCTCTCAGAACCCTGTGAAATAAAAGCAGGATTACGGATTTTCTCTTCGTCAGACGTGAAGTCTCGTTCTGCGTTTTACCAAGAATTACCTGAGAATCAGTGGAACTAATTTCGGAGGGCTTCTCCGTGACGCTGCTGTCATCGGGATTCTCATCGTATCCCTTGAGACTCTCCTCGTCGCTGTGATAGGTGACCGATGCCGGGGAAGGCCTGGGGGGCGATTTGCCCAGCATCGTGGGCGGTGGAGGATGCATCGCCTTCCGGGCCAACGTATTCCTCTTGCCCAGAGTGCCGCTTGCCGCGTTAACGGCACCACCTGCAACCTGGCGCGATCTGTACAATTCCAGGTCAGATTCCTGCCTGTCGTCCGCGTCCATCGCCATCGACTCTTCCAGAGTTTTTTGCGCCTCTTCTGCAATCATTTATATTGATATATATTCTATATGTATCGAACTAATGGAATTGTATTACAGATAACCGACCTGTCAGCATAATATAATTTTTCATATTTAAAATTTACATAAAAATTTCATAATTAAATTTTAGAAACGTATGTTAAACTCAACTTACGTTTGTATTTGTAGCTTTTACTCTTCACGCATAATACTGCTATGACCATAATGATAATTATAATTGATATAGCGGCTAAAGTGACCATGAACCAGGTCTGTCTGTAAAACGGCCTGTGTTGCAGGTATGCGTATTCCAGGTACAGTTTCGACGGTGTCAAAATCTGGTAAAGAAATTTCTATTAGTGACACGTGCTGGCACTCGTAACAGATTTTGTCTTCAAACAAATGAATGTACAACAAGCAAATAATAAATAATCAAACGGGGAAATTTAATATCCAAACAAATAGTTGTTTCTCTTTAAATAAGCTTACCGTCTCAGAGGAATACGCTGGATAGCTAATTCCAAAACGGTTGTACGATATCACTCTGAACAAGTACGACGTGGACGGCAGTAAGTTTTGATAAGACACTGTATACTCCGTCAGTGGTCCGTTGCTAGTACGAACTATTGTCTGCCAGCGCGAATCGTCTACAATTACATACATAAACCGCATTATAATCTTTAAATTAGGCAGGTATTTCCTAAAGTTATTTCGTTTAGATACGTATACCACGACGTACATAATCCAATCTTTTTATACAAGATGTCTCATTTGTACGATATAATTTTTCAGTAGCAGATTCTTTGGTCAATTGGTAGTCGGCTTTTTCTCCAAACTAAATCAATGTGTGAATGCTAGTAAGCGTTGAAAATTTTAATCGTTTATCGATTTAAAGATATGTGAATTTACTGACGACAATGTTCCAAAGAAAACTGTGTTTTAAGACCGAAAAGTAATCGCGCAGGACGGGTTAGAAAACGGTATAAAAGTTCACACATTTTATAAACTATAAACCATTGGGTTACCTACTCAGAAACTATCTTATTTCTTATTAATTTATATCAAAATCGGCCTATGATATAATTATCTATTATTTTTTTCTTCCCACATAGGAAGAAAACTTAAACAAAATTTTTTTCCCTCGAAACTGTTATCACTAGCACACGTCTTATGATTGATCATAAATTTATTCTACAGCAGAAAATCAACTTCATATGATTGATCTATTATAGTAAAAATATAGTATTAATATATTTGACAAATTTAAGAATATAACAGCAATTTTTTTCCCAGACTTAATTCGCCAGAAATCCTCCGCCTTTAATTATTAATCAGTCAATCATTAATTTAGCCTTGATGATTGTCTTAAGGAATAGTTGATTTCAAACTAGCCAGAAAACGTGTCGTTAAAAAATTATGCAATAAAAATGAGACGTTATGTACAACAAGTGGATAGGAGATTATATTATTCTGGTAGCTAATTTAACACTTTGAGTGCCGTCCGTTTTCCCACGTGAAATTCTTCGTAAAGTACCATATATTCTCGATTATTCTCGGGACTCCGTTTAGTTATGGTACGACATACGCAACGTATGTCGTGCGCGCATGCATCGTCCGCACGCAAAGTGTTAAACAATAAGATTAATTGCTGCGGCGGGGGGGGGGGGGAAGGATCTAAATAACAAAAACTGCGGCGTTGCCAACGGACAGTACAACAAATCATCACGCTAATATAGTCAATCACTGGACCGTTTCTTTGTCAGGACAATATACGGTGTGTTACAGCGCTACACGGAGTTAATACATCTTCAGTGAAATCCCGCTTGAACGTGTAAAGTGGGTTTCTGGCGACGTCATGCTATGACATTATCATGCAAATTATTGGAAGTACCAAACGACCACGGCACACGTGGTACACGTATGGGTAACGTACAACGGACTGTCAAAAGCGAGATTGTTACGCTAACAGGGGTCTCACTATCAAAAACCATCTAATGCAACGATTGACGCTCAGCGTAGTTACGTGCGTTGACACTTACAATGCTGCCATTCTTCCATCGCTATACAGTTATAAAAAAGACGGTATTAGTGTTAGCAGAACCGATAATCGAGTCAAACGCGAATGTGAAATGATAAACGAATTACGCGGAATTTGTCTTATAAATCACTCTACGGTTGTATGTTCTCGTTTCGTAAAATTACAAAAAATACTCACGCCGAATTTATTTTGCAAGCTAGTTACAATATAAAAATTAGATGTACTATGTATGTGCATAAAAAGATATACATTTTTAATTTTTTGCTGTTGTATTTTTGATAGACAGCAGGATAAAATGGAGAATTTTTAATAGCTTTCTTGACACGTTTCTTTTACTCCTATTAAGTGTAACTAAATATGTAACGACGGTTGTATAAAGATCATTCATTTACCTTTGCGACGAGTCTCGATGTAATAACCGAGTATAGGACCTTTGCCGGAAGCCCCGTTAGTCCATTGCAGCTCCACGCTGGAGACCGTCTTGGTCACGCCGAGATTGCTGGGTGCCATCGGTGAACCTTCTTGCGGGCCAGTCGTGACGTTGCCGGACACCGGCGGTCCGAAGTCGATCGTCAGCGCGCGAACCATAAAGACATACGTCACCTCCTCCTCCAGCGGCTGGATAAGGAGACCCGTCTCCGTCACTTTTTGCTTAACTTGTTTACTGAAACCTTAAATAAAACATCGATAAGTGAGTAAAAAAAGCGAAGTATATTGTAAACATTTCTGCGAAGTGACTCTAATATGTGTGTGAATTTTTCTAAATAAATAGCGTGTCCATTTATAAATAATAATATATGTGGACACGTATTAATCAGCGAAGTACACAATGTCATGATTACAAATAAAAAGTAATAATGACAAGTAAAAAGATGAGTTGGAAACGTAAAGTTAAATTCTTGAAGTCAAATACTGTAAATCTTCCTGAAGAGATTAATTTGACTTACGGTCGTTTTGCTCCGCCGTTTCGTACGTGACGATGTAACCAACTATCTCGCCGTTGCGTAACTTCGGCGGATTCCAAGAGACGCGCAGACTGGTCATGGTAATTTCGTTAAATTGCAAATGATACGGCGGTCCTGGTAAGTCCTGCAATTACATTACAGAATCCAAATACCGTTCGTAAATATTCCTGTCGAAAATATCGACATTGTTCGTGAAACAATTACGATGTAGCGTTTATAGAAACTTACCTGTTTCGTTCTCACGGTAATTGGTGGCGTTCGTGGACCATCTCCAGCTGGATTAAACGCTAGAACTTGTATGCGATACTCTGTATACTTGTCAAGAAAGACTAAATTGTGCGTCAAACAAGATGCAGGAACGACTTCTATCTCTTCTTCCTGTTTTTTCTCTAAATCCTGAGGGGAGTTGGTCACTAAGTAAAAAATCTGGAATAATAAACAGAAATTTCTTTTTATAATAAACAAACATTTTAAATTAATAAAGTAATACTGTAGTGTCAATTTTCAATAATTAATCTATTAATCTTAACAGGTAAAACAAAGGTCTATGAATTTGTCGCGATTATAATTATTGAATTTATAAAAGCAATAACTGTTGTGTAACTGAGCGAAATAATTACCTTATATCCTAATAAATCGCCATTTTGCATATTGGCCTGAGGAGGTTTCCAACGCAAGTGGACCTCGGTGGAAGAGATAGATTCGGCTTTTAGATGCTGAGGTTCTCCTGTAGGGACTGCCTCACCTACGTACACAGTAACCGGCGGACTGGACGGGCCCTCGCCTTCAGAATTAAATGGTCGCACGACAATCTCGTAATATTGGTTCTCCGTCAAGTCGCTTAAAACCATTTTCGTTGCCTACAAAAGTAAATTAGTTATATTAGAAGCTACACGCAATTCATCTTGATATTATATCGTTGTCAAATTAAAATGGACATCATAAAGAAGAGATTAAAGATATATTATACGCACATTAATTCCCAGAATCTCTTCTTTCGGCGGTGCCTGAAGAGGCGGGAAATCCGATACCGGCTGATAAACGACACGATAACCACCAGTCTCGTGATCACCGCTCCAATACACCTCGTCGACCATGTTCCAGCGAACCTCGACGCTGGATGTTGTTATCGGTACAGCTTTCAGACCGGTGACACCCTTCGACGGCGCTGTAAGAAATGTAACACTTTTGTCAACGTTGAAAAATTTAGTCCAAAATAGTAAAAAGAACAGAAATTCAAAAAATTGCCGAGAAAGAATTTCTTTCCGTCCCACGAGGTTTTCCTAATTTTTCTAACAATCTATCCTCGCTAACGTTTCATTCAGAGTCTCGTATTATTTTATCCTTGGTACGCACCTGCAGGCAGAGTTTGTACTTGAGCGGATTCATTGCTCCATTCTGAAGGGCCTATGTCGTTGGTAGCCTGAATGCGAAACTGATAATGCGTGTAAGGCTTTAAGTTGTTAGCCGTGTAAGATGTCAGAGTGGGTTCCACTCTCTCGGGAATGATTTGGTATGGTCCGGAATTCTCAGACTGTTGCACTGTATAATATCTATTGAAACAAGAGGAGGGATTGATATACAGTTTAACGGGTAGAGTCATCACAAAAGAAAGATTTTTTACCTTAACGGAGCAAAACCGTCTCTGCCTGGCGTCCAGTTAAAAGTTATCTGACGACTCTGGATCTGCGACTTGCTCACTTGGGGTACCGACGGCGCTTGAGGACGTTCCCTGTTGTTCGTGGTAAATACAAGCGCGTAAGCCGTCTTACCCCAACCCAATCTTGTCTGTGCCGTCACGGAGAACATGTAATACTTCTCAGGCTCGAGTTCAGTGGCTCTGCAAGCGAATTATGGAGATGTTTAAGATTGTGGCAGAAATGTTATGAGTTGTATAAAATTTTAAACGAGCTCTTTTATATGTGTATAGTATAAATTTGTTTTAAATTTTTTACCGATTAGTTTAAGAACATTTGTAATAAAGCAAAAGGTTTTTACAAGTTCTAATAAGAGATGCTGCGTGTCAATGATCAATAAAAAAGACTATTGAGAATGTTAAAAATTGAATAAATTATTGTTTAATATATCAAGAATATTATACTACAAGTATTTTCAAAGATTTTAAAAATACGACTGCATGGTTCTCTTACGATATTAAAATTTGCACCGCGGTAGAACAAAGTAGTAACGAAGCGATATTGAAACATTTATTGTATTTAATCGTTAAAGAAAAAATTATTATTCGCATAAAATAAACAAACTTTTTGTATGTTATACCTCAAGTATGTTGGCTTCAAATACTTTGCTACATAAAATGTACATAGACAATTACATGGTAAAAGGAAAAATCTTTATACCTGAACGTTCTGTCTGAGGCCGCAAAAGTTTTTTCTTTAGAATCTTGGCGATCTTCGCTGCTGTTCAAATGAAACATGACTTTGTATGCGAGAATCTCTCCGTTGGGATCCTCTGGTGTATCCCAGATAATGCGCGCTGTGGTCAAACTCACGTCAGGGAAAGATACATTAGATGGTGGACCAGGAGCTGTGATAGAAAACAGAATGTTAAAGCGCTATCATAGAATTTTATTCTTCTTTATTGTTATATTTTCAATATTTTATATATACATTATATATAAAATTTAAAATATAACATTATCTCAATTGCTTTTGTTAGCGAAAGTTCAACTGCAATAAATCCACTTACTGTCTTCAAAGGTCTGGACTCTCACAGGTGGGGTGCTCAGTGCCCCATCGCCAAGTCTTGTGTAAGCTAAAACCTGCACGTGGTATTGGACAAACTTGCGAAGCTCCGTTAAGGTGGTCGTGAAAGTGGTGTTGCTAGGAATGTTCTTGTACTGGAAAGTCGATCTGGAATTCGCGCCGTAGTATACCTTAAAGCCCTCGATCTGTCCATTTTGATGTTCCACGGGCACATCACCCCATCGCACCAGGATAGTCGTAGATGATGTCGCATTTGCTTCTACGTTAATCGGCCCCAGAGAAGGAACTGAAAGATGTCACACATATCTATAAATTTCAGGATGTTGTATGAAAAATACATTAAAAATCGAACTTAATACAATCTGTTTTGCTAACGTTTGAGTTTCAATACATAATTATATTAGTGCCAAGTCAATTATTAGAAATCAATTCATATAGTTTGAAAAATTATTTCATTTCTAGTGTAAAATATTATACTTAATTTTTCTAACGTTCGTCTAAACTATATTCGATTATGTAAAATTATATAACCACGTTCGAAAAATTGAATTTTCATGAGTTGGCTTCTTTCTTGCGTAAATACATACGTTCAATTATGTATAAAACACACACCTGATTCACGAGTTCGTTCGATGGCTTTTGGACTCGCCGCCGAAGAGCCGACGTCGTTGAACGCTTGCATCACTATCTCGTAATCGGCGTACTCCTCCATATTTTCCAAAACGTATGAGTTCGCGGTGTGATCCTCGATAATGCTGCTCTTCGAGATGTTCGATCGCACTTCCGTGTAAGTGACATTGTACCCTCGCGGATTTCCGTACCATTCTATTTGCTGCAATGGCTACACAGAAGACAATACAACTCTTGCAATACAATCTCACTAATAGATATATCGTAATGCTAATCAATACAGGAATAATACTTGTCGCATGATAATCCGGTAACGATACTTACGATCCACCTGACGCGTAACTCGGTGGCACTCATCGCGCGAACCGTGACATTTTTCGGGGGATGAGAGGGCGGTGCCTGAATCGTCTGGAACTCTTTGGTCGGCTCGGAAGGCTGCGACGCACCAACGACGTTGTTTGCGATCAAACGGAGCTTGTATTGCATGAAAGGAGTCAAACCGTCCACTGTTATTGTACTCGCGTCGGGATCGGACACTTCGTAGAAGTTGTACCACGTCGAGTTCCGCGCTGTTTGTGCCTGAAAAATCGACAACCATTGATCTCGCATATTGTTTCTTTCGATTTATCTTCGGTCTTTTATTCTATCATATTGAATCTTCCCGACTGTGTACCTTAAGAATAAATCTTACAAAATTCGTGAATTAGTACGACTGAGAATGAGGCGCGATTTTTTTCAAATACCGATCCTTGGAACAGCAAACAGATAATAAAACATTATTTGGCATAAAATCAATTTTATTTCAACAACATTTTTGTTGATAGCAGAAATTTGATTATACACGAAAAATGTAACAAATGATTATCTTCAACTTTTACAAAGGGAGCATTGACTGTAAATTGACCAACCTGCACTGTCCACTTTATGATGGATGAGTTTCCGTCGAATCCTGGCGTGAACTGTAACACAATGGAAAATGCATCTATGTTGGATAATGCTAGCTTCGTAGGAGGTTCCGGTAGCACCGGTTCGACGCCTGACTGTATGGTCGCCACTTTTGGTTTGCCGGATCCAACCAACGTCCAAGCGGTTACTTCAAATTTGTAGTGGGTTAGTGCCTAAGAAAATGTTTAAATGGATATAGTCATATCTTTATTGTACCTTGATTTTGACTTTTTACTATATATTTTTTATAACTACCTGAAGATGCTCCACTTTGGTTAATAACATATCAGCTGTAAAGTTTTCGACGCGCAAAGAATCTGGGATGTCTTTAATCATGTATTTCAGTTGATAATGTGTCAATATTCCGTTCGTCTCTTTAGGGGGACTCCACTTAACCGTTAGCGCACGATCACTGATATCTTCAAATTGTAAATTCTCCACTTCTTCAGGTACTGTAACAGATTATAAATATATAAAGATGAATAATGTCTACAAGAATAATTTAATTCTTATTCATTTATAATATAAAGAGATATAAAGTACGTCAAAAATGATCTTTCAATCAGAATCATCTTTATTAATCTAGCAATATAATTATTAATTCTTAACTAGTTGTTGTGTAGGTAAACATACCATCTTCACGAGTGCGAACTTCGACGGCCAAGCTTCTTTCACCGTCGCCTGGATCGGTGAAGCAGAGCACCGTGATATTGTACGGAGTGTACTTTCTTAAACCTGTCATAATGGCGTTCTGCTCGGCGAGCGGATCGAATAAACTCGGCGGCACAGTCATCGATTTGTATTCAGTCGCTTCTGTAAAATTGCTGTCGACCCAGGCTTGCAATTTGTATCCCTGATTGATACCATTGATCTTTTGAGGATTCGGTGGCTTCCACCAAACTTTCACTGCCGTTGAATTAAGTGCTTTCGCTCTTACATTTGTAGGAGGTGCTTCCGGGACTGCAAAAAATTATTTCTTTTATCTTTAACTGATTTATAACACCAGGGTAATATTCTAGCATGTCAATCCATTATGTTTTAGTACTGCATAACAGTTTAGAATTATACAGCAGAGCGTTTAAATTGGGATGTTATAAAATTACAAGATTTCAGGGAAAAAATTATAATAAGTTAATTAATTTATATAATACCATAGAATTATATTTAAATTAATTCCTAGCGTCAATTACCTCCTTCCCTAGTTTTTATTTGCAAGCCCTTCGAATATACACCCACGCCTTTTTCATTGTAAGCCGCTATTTGCACTTCATAGTCCTTCCACGTGATTAAATCTGTAATAAGGTAATTTCTTTGCGCTTCATTAGTGATGTTTTGCATCGTCCACGGGCTGTCGTTGTATCCGAAAAGCGTGTATCTCAATATATATCCCAAGATGTGGCCGTTTCGGTATTCTTCCAGTGGAGGTTGCCATTGCGTTATTATTTCCGACGACGAACGTGCTGAGCCTACGAAACCAATCGGTGGACCACTGGGCGCTAAAAGTAGAAATAAAGCATTTAAATGAGATGCAACATCGAAATCGCACATCGAGGATCAATTCATAAATTTATCCATATTTTAATGAAGATACAATAGCGAGGAGAGGTACATTATATTATTTTCTATTGAAACAATTAAGCGACTAATTTTTCTAATCACTCACGCTCTTGAGGTAGAACGACGATGTTACTGGCTATTGACGATGGACCCTCGCCGACGCTGTTCTCAGCGCTAACACGAAATTGATAAGACGCCGCGGCTTTCAGATTACTCAACAATACCCACCGATTGGTCGCGGACACATTGTCGCGTTCGGTGACCCAGTTTAATAACGGATCGTGTATAGGCCCTATTTGCAAAAATAAATATGTTGTAAATTAAATGCATTATATAGAGATACAAAAAATATCAATTTTATAATTCCAATTTTCTGAATTGAAAATTTATAAATTTCTGGATACACGTGACACTAACGTTTACGGTTACGTATATTCGAGAGTATACAAATTTCACATTAACGTATTCAATTATATTTAGAGTACACTTGAGTTTTTATATTCGAATCACACTTACCCAGGTCGGACACCTCTCGTCTCTGAACTATGAATTTTTTCGTAGGGCTATTGCCGTCGAAGCCGGGCACCCACGTAACGTTGATCGTGCGCGGCGAGATCTTTTCGACCCGCGTGGCCAGGACGTTGATCGGTGGAAATGGCAATTCGATCACGCTTAAACGTGCGGATCGCGTTTCATTGCCACCCGGCGACACCACAGAGCAAGTGTACTCGCCCACGTCGGAGGGTCGAACGGTGACGATCTCGAGTGTGCCGTCCGATCGCATCTTCACCCTTTGACTCGCTTGCGTGTTTATTACTCTGTAACAATAGAACTTTATCAGTTTCAAATTTTCTATAGTGTCGGAAGAGTTTTAGGATCTTGTCCTCTCGATTCAAATAATTTCGCCGGTACCGTAAATCAACAATTTAATTTATGAATTAATGAAATTATCAAATTAAAAATACGTATATATATATATAATGTAAATAATTCTTAAATGTCTTAAATTTCAATTAATTCGATGTTTAGTCGATCGGAGAATACTCCGGTTAATATAAGTTTGAAAAGCTTGTTAAATTTCTGCTCTCAAAAATTTTAACTGACGTTATTCGCGTCATTATAATATTTCTCCTTATACGTACTGTCCATTGTGAAACCATGCCATATCGTACACGACGCTGGGGTCGTTTGAGACTTTACACTGCAATTCGGCGGTACGCCCGAGAAGCACGGACGTATCAACAGGTGGTTGGATGATTTGAGTCCGAACTGTAACAGAAGCAGATGATATACGACAACTGAGCAAAAGAACCGATTTCTATCGTAAGAAAGTATGCTATCATGATTCGTTTGAGCCTTTTTTCTTATAAACGTTTGTCTCGATAATCACCCATAACAGTCACGTATGCCGATCCGTTGACAGAGCCGGCTTCGTTCGCGCGGATGCAAGTATACTTTCCCGCGTCGTTCGGTTTCACCGCCGCGATTAAAAGATTGCCATTGTCCAAGACTTGTACTCTCCCAGCGATCTCCACAGGCATCGTATCTGTTACAATCAAATGGCATTTGTCACGTAAACGCGCAGGGAGATTTGTAACACGAGGGAGTTTGCAAATTTCTAGGAATCATAAGTTAAACGTTTAGCGTTAATTGCTAATGTCTAAATAAATGATTTTGCGAGATAAGTGCGTTCAATTAAAAGAGAGCTATATTGAACAACTACAATGTAATGTTGACAAACCTAAATAAAAGATTTAGAGCACATTTCCTAGAACTTTTGAAACATTTCTTGTATTATATTAATCTTATGTATCTTAATTATCTAATAATCGCACACCTGCGCGCCATATTGACATACAATAACTTAAAAAATAACAAGTAATTTAGCTTTGATTTAATTACCGTTATAATACCAGGTGACATTTGGCTTAGGCGCCGCAATCGCGTTGCAACTCAGAGTTGCATCTTTGCCGTCTAACATTGTCAGATTCTGCGGTCCATTTTCCATTATCGGTCTAGACGCTGTAAATCACAGGAATTGTGTCATTAAGATCGAATCTATGCCCGAATGTTTTCTCACAACGTGCAAATGAAAAAAGGGTGAGCAATCGTCGCTTGCAATATTAAACCCATCTGTAAATTCTCACCTCTTCTCTATCTCACTAAGTTTATTCCAAAAGGTAAGCTTATTTTTTAAGCATAACACAAACACATATTTAATAGCAAAACTACGCAAACTTAAAACTAAGTACAGTCATATTTAATGATAAATGCCACGTAAAATAATCACTAAATGCTAACGGCACTTATCCTGAGACATTCATAAATAAATAGATCTTATTAAAATTATATCTTTAATGTTTGAAAAAAAACAGGACATGCATGTCAGTATTACATGCAATGTCGCAGACGCGTGCTAAGAATTATCATTTCATTACGTGAAAATACAGCAAATCAATCCATTTAATGTTTCTTCAAAAATATCGTATGGTGTCGTATAGAAAAACACTCAACTATAATTAAAATCGTTAAATCACTAATCATAGAAAGAAACGTAGAATTGGTCAACGTCTTTCGCTAAAGTTCTATAAACTATAATGGTGGAATAATAATAAATATTCTAAAATGCCAACATGTGGTGCTGTTTGCCTTATCAGAGCTACGCGCAAATTTGTCACTAGGAGAAGCAAAAAATCGTGAAGTGAAATTTATACGCAGTCTTTAAGCATGTGCCGAAAATGATAATGGAAAAGAGAAGTGTGGAAATCTCGCTGCAATATTCTTACTGTTTTGATATTGAGAGAACATAAAACGGCGATCAGACTGGCGAATTCTGACTACATTGTAGCCAGCCGCCCAGCGGGCAACTCTGTTTCTCAATCCGCTTCCTAATTCTTCTTCTGTGCCGCATACAAAAAATACGTCATTTATATTAACTCTGCTTGCGACATTATTACGCGAAATGTCCGCGAAAAACGCGACTCAAATGTATTTCCCTTTAAACAATATTTGACACACGGCTTAACAATCTTGCTATTAGATAACATAAGAAATCACCTGTTACAATTTATATTATACATCGGCCAAAAAAGACAATAAATAAACAACATAACAAAAATTTTTAACTCACCTTGTATTCGAAACTAAATTATATATTTGCGTTATTTATTATTTTTCATTATGTCCCGTGACTGCTTACAGAAATTTCGACTTATGTAAAATTAAAAAATTGTATTTTAGTCGCGTGTTTTGCGAACACTCTGGGTACGGACTGATAATTTTATTTTATTTTTAGAATTTCGCGATACATTGTGGAAACTATGGGAAATTACTCACTTTTCGCTTTCAGCCAAGTACAACTGGACGATTCGCCGGCATCGTTAGACGCGAGGCACTGAAACATTCCCGAGTCGTCCATAGTTAATTTTTTAATCGTCAACGAGCCGTCTTCTTCCATCCTGTATCTGTGAAAGAGCAGTAAAAATGTTTAAATGTTTTTCAGAGTTCTAAGTCCCTCTTATAGACGGAAACAAATTAAAAAATATTTAACATTGTAAAATATTTTCTAAATTTAACCTTTCTTACTTCAAATTATCTTCTCTTCAATGATAATTCCTTTAATATTACGTACATATTTTTACTTTGTAATACAATATGTTTTAATGAAATAAAAACATTATTTCTCACCAATATCTCTTTCATGTAAAACAATTACAATTTTAGATTTACAGAACAAATTTCTAACAAAACAGATAATTAAAATAGAAATAATTGAAAAGCTTCTCTCTCTCTCTCTCCCCCTCTCTTCCTCCCTCAGATTCTAACGACCATAAAGACATATATTTGTCGAGGCGTACCTAGTCCCCAGTAAATGATCGACAGGCTCGGCATTACGGAACCAACTGATTGTAGGAGGTGGCACGCCGTTAGCATTACACGGTAACGTTACCATGGACCCGTAATCGCTCAGGGTCTTCTTTTTTAATTCCGTTATAAATGTCGGTTTTTCTAGAAGAGCGAAACGACAAATTTAGAAAAGAGTCAGGCCTGCTAAAAATTTTTTACAGCGTAGCATTTTTTAAAACATAGTCTCACGATTATACTCTTATCGGTATTTTACTGTATCATCATTTACACATATTTATTACATGTTTATTGTCAACTATAATACGCTTACCATATACAACAATGTTAGCGCTCGCATTTATAGTCGGATACCCGCCACTTCGCAAGTCCACGTGGCAGGAGTAAACTCCTGTGTAAGTTATGTTGGCTGAAATCAATGCGAGTGTTCTGTTCCACGAATCGTTAAAACTATACGATATCCTAGAGTTTTCGATCGGAATGCCGTCCTTCATCCACAGAGTCCTCAGCTCGTGAAGCGGTCTGAAACGATATTGAGGCTGCAATTTCGAATCTTTTCGAGAGCAAACATTGACAACATTGTGCTTGCGCATCGTGAAGAAAAATCATGATACGCAGCGAGTGGTAAACAGAAATTCGCGAATACCTGGCGTTCGCGATGCAATTTATATGCGTGACATCTTGATTTTTTATTATCTGCGTGTCCTGCGGCTTGACGATTATGGTGGGGGCCACCTCGGCGTACGGATCGCCGGTAACTTTCAGTGTAAAAAACGGACTGATTTCGTCCTTGCCCAATTGAGTGTTAATAGCCTTCGCTCTGTCGTGAACGATCAGAAAGTGTAAACTTCATTTGTCAGAAATTCTAAAAGAGCGACTCTGCGCGCTGCAGTTGAAGCATCAAGCAGGATGCTGATCGCATCAATTACACGAACCTGTACGAGCCTTCGTCGTTTTCCGAAGCGTCCAGTATGATTAACGTGTGATCGGTCGTGGCGTATTTTATCCCGTACGGAGGACTCCCGTCCGTGGAGATCCACGTTACGTCGGGGGCGGGATAGCTCTCGATCGGGGGTAGTTCGAGAATCGCGGCGCTACCCGACTCGACGGTCACCACCTTCTTCGTGAGATTGTCGAACGTCCCCATGTCTGAAGCGAATCGAAACGTCGGTAAACCCGATGATCCAACGTGTCCCGAACACGTTGGGGATACTCACAGGCTACAGCGAAAACGAGACGATTGCTGAATACGGACCCCACGTCGTTCGTCGCGACGCAATGGTACACTCCGGCGTCCTCCCGCCGCGTACTGTGAATACGGAGGTAATGCTCCGACGTGAACTCGTTGTTGAGGGGCATCCCGTCCTTGAACCATTTGTACTTTGGTTGAGGATTGCCTGCGAAGATGATGCGAAAGTTAGTTTCTCCCAGCTGCTTCGCTTGGTCTAACTTAATTGAAGAATGAAGAGGGTCTAGAAATTGTGTGAAGACATTGAGAAAACGGCACGAGCCGCCGCTGTCTCGTTAACAAGCGTATTTTCTGCGAGCTGCGATTATTTGTACGCTCTCCGCTCGAGTTAACGTGAAGAAACTCGTGAGCGATTCAATGCAAAGTCACGGACGATGCTGTAGATCGCGAGCTATCTAATACCATTAGTACAGGGTCATACGATTGAATTACACGGTGTTGGGCATTGGTGAGGCTTCATCTGGTCTCATCCGCCTGTACGTCACCCGATATTTCTGCAGGACAATGAAACGCCACGCGGGTGAACCTTATCCTCGATCGTTGGCCGCGGTACTTTTTCTTACGTTCGTTTATTTTGTTGTTCCAAAGCAACATTGATTGTATATTTGAATACAAAAATTCCGAAAAATGTTGACAATTTCGGCAAGTTGATGACGAAATAGGTCGAACTGTTGGCGAGATGGAAACTGGGTTTTTATTTTCGATAGCACATTTGGAAGAAGACAAAACTTGAAATTTGCAGTACCTCCAAAGGTCTTGTTACTTAATCTTAATATTGAATTAGAGCAACAAGCAATTAAAAAGGAAAATCTAGTCTTTTTCTGTTCAAAATGATACATGTCACAAAGTTTATTACCAGACAAGTTTACGACACTCTCTTCGTTCCTATATTAGGATAATCAAAGAAAGTCACGTTACGTCTACAACGTTACGGTTGCGATTCCTACCTTTCGCTTGGCATTGCAGAAACTTGGTGCGATTCTCGCTAAGTATATTGCCACTGTTGGACGGTTGAGTGATGAAGCACGGCTCCGCAAGTGGTTCTGCGAACAGAGAAACGTTTTCTTCTTCAGATTGATCTCGCGCAGGCCGATGGGCGCGGCAGACTGTAGATTAGGCTTACAATTCATAAGTACATAAGAATGGTTTCTGAATGGTTTCACTAATTATAAAGAGTATTAAAGAGTATGAATGAAATGTGTGCACGCAGAAGGCGCCAGCAAAGTCATTGTCTACCTACAGCAAAAACAAAATCATCAATATATGCAGGAGAATAGATCAATAAAAAGAAATCCCAGATGCGAAGTGGGTAAAGTCTACGGAAATGTAAATACAATATTCAATTGATTAAAAGGTAAAATAATAGCGGAGCGAAACGAAAGAAGGGGAATAAGAAGGAAGATCTAAGAAGGCAACGAATTAAAATATTTAACGCGCGTCGGTGCGATTTAATTACAAAATTTGAGTTTCGATATTTCGTATGGAGAACCCGATCGTAGTCTTGTGTGATTACACGTGGGTTCCACACGGTGCAGACTGAGTCACCGCGAGCGCGTGTAACGTACAGACGTAAGAATTTACGGCGCTCCGAAAAGACTGACGAACGAGAGGAAAGAATGCGACCGAACGGCCGTGGATGCCGAGGTGCCGAGTCACATGCAACGCACGTAAAGCCGACACGTGCACCCGCCCGTATCCACCGGACGTTCCACGCTCTGGTGATCTTGACACGCGGGTGTACCGGTGTGTCGCAACCTCTAGTCGTTCCCCGGTAGAACGACGGTTCGGTAGTGAACAAAAAGGAGCGAGGTAACGATTCGCGTCAAGAGAGAGCTTTGAAGACGGCACGCCATCCCTCCTTCAGAATGCAAAACTCTTTATTATGGTTTTCCAAACGGGGCAGCTTAGAGAAATGTCCGAAGACATTTATATACGGAATCAAATCATGGACACCGGCAAAGTTGATATTTTCTTAGCTTTGAACTATTGGGTAGACAATTGAAACGAATCATTTCTGTACAAAGTATATTTAATAAGCTAAGAAAAAGACAAATGTAGATCAACATACCTATTTCAATTCTCTATTCAAACAGTTCAAAACTAAGGGAATTTCCACCTTGCAAGGTGTTCATTATTTATTGTGTTTTTATGTATTGCAAAATAGAATACTTTGGTGAGTTTTTTTTACTAATAGACCAAAATTTTGAAGAAAATGTGCTCCCCGATTCAAGATGCAAAATTCGTTATAGTTTTCTAAAAATCTCCGAAGACATATAATTATCTTTCAAGAAGGCTACCTCTCGGGGCATCTTTTTACTGACAAACAAGAACTGTGAAGAAAGTGCTCTATGCTCCTCGATTTTCAACATGCAAAATTCTTTCTAAATTTATAAACGGGGCAGCTTAAGAGTCTTCCGAAAACATTAATAACATTATTTTTTAAGTAAGATATCTCATCTTTTTACCGATAGAAAACAGCTTTGAAGAAAGTGCGCTTCCTCATTTTTGAGATAGAAAATTCTGTTCAAATTGTTCTGTTCTGTAATAATACAGAAACTTTATTGCGAAAAATACTACCTCATCCAGGGTTTGAACCTGGACAATTGCCCACACTCCAGGCAGGCGTCTCACCAATTCGACCACTGAGGCATGTGATAATATTTGTCGCAATAACAGTATAAAGATGTTATCTTCGCGTCTATTTTTGAACTTTAAGTTGATTATATCGAATCAGAGCACAGTTTAAAATCGAAAAATAGACGCGAAGATAACATCTTTATACTGTTATTGCGATAAATATTACCACATGCTTCAGTGGTCGAATTGGTGAAACGCCCGCCTAGAGTATAGGAAAGTCCGGGTTCAAACCCTGGCTGAGGTGATATTTTTCGCAATTACTTGTTATTAAAAATGCGTGGCGAGTGTGGCGCAGAGAGATGTGCGCTGCTTGGTAAACAAATTAACTAAAAGATCCGAGTTCAAGTCCACGAACACCACTGATTTTTTCGGAATTTTCCAAAGGGAAGTGGTAACCACTGAAAGTATCCTGCCACACATATCCTTTTAGGAATACAGCTCTCCAGATTGGAGGTTTCCTTCGGCAAGATTAGCAGCCTACCGAAGATGAAGTAAATGCTCAAAACATCAGTTCATTCTGGTACAGAACTAACTGGACAAAACAGGCTTTTAAGCTTATCACGAAGAAGAAGATTAAAAATACCAGATACGGTCAAGAAAATACTGAAGCTGTTACTGCTGGCGACTTGAAGAAGATTCATATTAGACGCTTTTCAATCTTCATGACTAAAACTACAGTTCTGTAAACAGAACAGAGTTTAATTATACAAAAATATTTGTTGATCCAAAAAGATTTGTACGATCATCTTTAAAGCAGGATATCTTTCTACGAGATAAATTCGAATAATATATTATACATATTTGCGGAGTCTATAACGCGGAGTCTATAACGCAAAATCGCGTGACTTCTGCTGATTTGAAGTTGCGATTTATGATTTATCTGGAGCATTCGTTAGAACGTCAGAGGAAGTTGCTACGGATGTGTAAACAATAACCATTTACAGGCCGATGACGATCGCGGGCGACAAAGTGATAGTTTCCGCGCATCGTTACGTCTCTCAACCGGCAATTCATTCCGACCTGATGCACCGCGTGATGCACGGGTTCACGTTCCAATCGCACACACGTGCAATCAGTCACGCCGTATCGTACGATTCTAAGAACGGTCGATCGTGTGATCGCGTCGCACCTAGGCCGCCATAAATATTGATTCGGCCCGATAAGCACCGTCGACGAAAGGTACTTAACATGATACGCCGTATCGCTGGCAATATGTGGCAATATGTCTCGCAATCGTTTCAATTCTTTTCTGGACAAAAATGTTTTTACGCGTCTAGCGAAAATGAAAAGTTTTTGAAGAAAGTGTGCGCTCCTCGATTTTCAAGATGCAAAATTCCTTACGATTTCCTAAACGAAGCAGCTTAAAAAAATTTCCAAAGATATTTAGATACCGAGGGCAGCACTTCGCGGATGACGCAATTAACGATAAAATTGTAGTCCGATTAATAAATTTTAGAAAGCGTCTACGCGCTATTCTGTTTTTTAAATCCTTGTAAATAAAAATTTTGACCTCCTAAGATTTTTAATGGGTCAATTTAGATTATAATTTAACGAAACGTTGTAACGCGAGCTTTAATTATAAATTACAAAAACTCAGGTGTATAATGCTAAAGATCGTAAAGTCATGGTAAACGGATGCTTATCCTGGTTTAGGATTTAGGGCCAGTTTCACAAACGTTGGTTAACTGTTAACCAGAGTTCAGTCAATGCCCTATCTTTTTCTATCTTGTTCTCTAAGAAGAGACAGAGGATCAGTTAACCTTCGGTTAGCAGTTAACCGACGTTTGTGAAACTGGCCCTTAGAAAGACGGGTCGGGTTTTATCAATACAATTCTACTTTATCCGAACTAGCCAACGTGTGCTCTGTATTCCCTCGCATTCCTCGCCGCGTTGATATAACGGAGCACTGGAATCGTTATGAGTCTCTTGGACGCGAATGAATTAAAATTTCTCGCGCACAAGAAAACGGTTCACCTTCACGAAGACCAGCCTTTGAGGGAAGCGAGATTCATTTTACTTAATATATTGTCAGCGTTTCAGATGCCTCGCCTGTGCAAGAGGATTCAACTGAAGGATCCGGTTTCCGGATCTTATCTCCTTATCGCGCGTGTCGTGAGATCGCGACGAGGTGACACCGCGACGCTTAACTGGCCTCCGCGAGACTGCAGAATTTGTAAAAACACACGTGAAGACACCTACACGGAGAGAATTTTCTCTTAAAATTTATCCTGAAAATCGTACAATCGTGAGATAATTTGGCATTTTGGAGAATTTTATGAGTTTCTTTTTAAATTTTACCATCCATTGTACTAGTAAAATTTGAAAAAAACTCTCCTAAAGTTCTTCAAAACGCCACGTTGTCCCACGATTACACGATTTTCAGGGTAAATTTTAAGAGACCATTCTCTCCGTGTACGAATAAACCCTACGCGCATTTTGCGCGTCCCTAGTTAACCGCCGGGTTATTTATTTCAAGCTCGTTGCAAGCTCGCTCTCGGCCGAGAGCGAAAAAAAAGAGTCGCGCGTAAAAGCCAGAAGACGAAGAATTCCGGGAATGCGCGCGGAGGATAAAATAAATTATGCAATATTTCTCGTTGAGGTATCGCTAAATGCGGCGGAAATTAAGTAGGTGAAGGTGTTAACGCGAGGAACGGCACGCTCCAAACGAGGCTCCTTCGCGGGCGACTAATTATTGCGGAGGTAAGCTACTCGAGCATTAACAGGTGTAGTTGCTGCAGCACGTGCTGCGCCGCTCAATACCTGCAATCTAAGCTACGCTGTGGATTTTAAATTCTTTGCGCGCATCCGAACGATTACCGCACTGCAGGCTGACGTTTCGCGAGATCCGACAAATTCTTATCTACACTGAAAAAAATTTCTGGTTGAATATGGACGAATCAGATAATTCCTTTAGGATTTACCAGAATTCCTTTAGGATTTACCAGAATTTCTGTAGGATTACAGGAATTCTGGTAAATCCTAAAGGAATTCTGGTAAATCCTAAAGGAATTATCTGATTCGTCCATATTCAACCAGAAATTTATGTAGGATTACAGGAATTCTGGTAAATCCTAAAGGAATTATCTGATTCGTCCATATTCAACCAGAAATTTTTTTCAGTGTACGCTACGAAAGTTCTTGGATAACGCACTGGAAAAAAAAACATCCGGTTGCATTAATTAGAAATCTGGTAGATTCAACCAGTCGTCCGTTAGAAAATGGACGAATCAGAATTCCTTTAGAATTTACTAGACGTATAGTGAAGTCTAACAAGCTTCTGGTTATGAAATATCAAGCCCTATCGTGATAACTAGAAATTCTGCTTGGTTTAACCAAAACACATTCTATCATACATGTCTTGTTGATACAATCAAAGCATTTCTCTCAGTGCAGTAATGTTTAATAT